GATCAGGGATGTTCCGCTTTCTCAAAATATTTCTGCGCATAATCGGGATCTTGCGGAAACAAGGGAACGCTGTTTGCTAAGAGGTCCGCGGAGCTTATCGTTTTGAACGTATTATTCTGCGAATTCTGTGCTTCATCGTTCTTCTCTAATGCTACGGCGACGCAGTGTTCGGGATTCAACAGAGTCTCCTCGAAAAACCAGTCTTGCTTCACGCCGTTCAAGTACAATACCGTGTCGGTGGCAACAGAATTTTCCGAGAGCTTCGAGTTCGTTTTAAAATCGATTCCTGCCAAATCGATCGTGATGCCCACACCTAATGCTTTCACGTAGCTCTCTTTCAACGCCCAATGTCTACAGAACATCGCGATTTGACCAGGTTCGTCCAAAGACGAGTCTCTTATCTCTTCCCATTCCGAAGGCGAGAAATTTCTATTCATTATACGAAAGAATTCGGACAACGATTTGCCACCGGTATATTCGAGTTTCATCAGGTCCACGCCCAAGTTCACGTTCCTCGTTTCCCCGGCTAAAACCGTGTAGTCGCCCTGATGAGACACGTTAAAGCACAGGTTCGTGGAAACGTTTGTCACGACAGGTTTATTGTTCGTGTCTCTCCCTAACGTTACACCGCTGTACGGTACACCTCCGTATTCCATGACGAATTTTCTCATCAGCAACCTGCCTGCGAGGGAGGCTCTAACGTCTTTACGGAACACGAATCTGCCTAATCTCTCTCTCTCCTCTGACTGTACACAAGAAACGGCGTGAGCAAACTCTTTTTCGTTCGGATTCCATTCCTTCCAATTGAATGCCCACCGAACGCTTTGAGACATGTTCCTCAACATTAATTCTATCTAACGTTTCTACTAAACGTTCCGTAAAATGTTATCGCACCCGGTTTACAAAGGATCCTACTCTCTAGCATCCACCTGAAGAAAATAGACAATACATCGTATTATTTCTCCGACGAAACGAAAGTGTTCGTTTTCGAATAATTGATTCGACCGCTCGATCGTTAGTGCTCTTAGAGAATAAATCGGATGTACAGAATAACTGTGCGATGAGTCAGCGAGTTCACTTAAATCGGACTTGATGTCGTTCTAATTGACCGAGATGCGTGGGTGTGGTGAGAGCAACGTCTCCTCGATACAGCTTCTTTAAAAATCGCACGATTCCGACGTGTTTCGACGATCTGAAGGTGGGAAACACGAATTGACAATACGCTAACCTGCGCGGTTGTTAAATTTGTTCGAAAAACAGAGACGTAGAAAAGCGATCTTACAATTAGTAATACAGACGGTCGGATACTTCTTGGAAGTATAAGTATACAGCAGGCAACAAACTACGAATTGTCAGGTAGTCGGATACTTATACGGGAAGATGTAACACGCGGGGTTCATTAAATAAATACTCATGGAAAAGTGCAGTTTCAAGTAAGAAGAGAACAGAGAAAAGGTTTACCATTGAGCTTGGCGTTCTTTGGACCCCTGTTGGAGAGCGACGAGGTGGCCGTTAAGTGAGCTCTGTCCAGGAGCGGCTCGTTACATTCATCGTCTAACGAAACATTGCATTCAGATTAGTGACACGATACAACGTTCGACAAATACGTCGCGAAGCAAACCAAATCTCTATCGATCCGGTGTCTTGGAAGGTTTTAGTCTATTTGTTTCATCGACATAAGCTAGCATGTTGATGAACGATGATCGAATCATTACGCGATTCGTACTCGTAGATCGATACATATGCAGACGATCGGGATACGTTAAAAGTAGGCGAAACGAAGATTCTAAGATCCCCGTAACGTCTTTGTGATTGGAAATGCAAAGTTGATCGTGTCTCGACGAATTCACTGGACGTATATAAATTAAAAGCTACTACGCCATGTTGTAAAGTGGGCTTGGCTGGATTGAATCACGCACGAGACGAGTCGCGCGGAGTACTTCGGTTCCGTCAATCGAGAAAAATTTGATGCGCACGGACAGAGATATTTGTACTTACATGCGAAGCTGAACGTATTACTTGTTAATGCGAACGCGAACACAAAACACCTGATAGTATTCATCGTTTCATTGCCCCTTCAGAGAGCATCAGATTTTGTTCCGGGGCGAGACGCGACGTTGGAACGGTTGAAAGTTGAAACTGTTACTGAATTCTCCTCGTCTCACCGGGTGGTGTGGTTGGTGTTGGTGGGTCGTGGCCGTTGTGCGTTCAGCGTTGTGCCACTTTTCCCATTCTCCCATTCACCTCGTCCGCGAATGCACCAAGATTCGGTCGGTAAGAGAACTGACCGCTTTAACATCTAGCAATAGGACAGACAGACAGGATTTAATCAAATATACCACCGCCGAGGACAAGTCGTATCGTAAAAACACCGAGGAGAGATCACTAATTGATCTCTCCTCGGTGTTAAAAATGGCTAAATGAATGCGGAAACAGACTTCGAATCAGTGCTCATTCCATTTTAGACAGACATAAAAAAAATCTGTGTAGCGATACGTTATTTCTCGGAACATCTTCTTCTGCTACGCTCTTTTTTCCAAAGGCTTTTGACAGCTGTTCATACTCCAGTTATTTATATAGGTCAACGTTCACTGACGACTCGACAAAAGATTGCAAACAAAGTTAATCGAACGAGATGGAGAGCGAACCAGAGGAGAAGGAAAAGAGATTGTCGTTCGACACAAAACCTACGGAGGATACTAAAACTGATCAAATTAATCAGACCGAACCGATCGAACAAAGCGACGAAGCCGAACGAACTAAACGCGGGGAGAATGATAAGAATGATAAAATTGAAAGTACGGATGACGGCGAGGAGGAACCTCGGCCAGAAGATATTTATGATGATGACGACGATTACTTAGAATTCTCCGATTACGAATTGATATCGAAATACGACAAGGATTGGGGTGAGGAGGATATAAAAAGTAAGTGAAAACGCGAATTTCGATTCTGCGATTAGTAGGTTCAAAGAGCAGTCAAGTCAAGAGTCGCGGCCAGACTCGTGGTCTTCCCGTGACTATTAACTCGATTAACAGGTGCTAGGAGCCGGCTCAACTGATTTTAAACTTGTATCGTCCAGCCGTGTCCAGCGTGACTGTGGATTGGGAGAAGGAAGCAAAGGAGACGGTGCGATTGGACACGACCGCGTTAAGAGAGAGACGCAGAACGATCTTCGAATTAGACTCTTACGTCTCCTCGGGACCATCGGCCGGCGACATAGAGAAGCTCGCTTCGAAAGATTTTACGCCCCCGAGCCCTCGGAAAGAAATTCGTTATTCCGTTTCTCTGGTGAAATTAAATAACGTTGTCATACTCGAAGGACAGACGTCCTGCAATTGATAACATTTGGAAAATGTTAATGATCGTTACACGTGTAGGGTGCACCGGGTATAGCCAGGATCAATTTGTCCCCGTTAACGCAGAAAGTGGTCGGCTGCGTTGTAGGGGAGAACGTCAGCACCGAATATCCCTGGGTATACGTGAGGAAAGAGATAATCGAGGACAATATAGATCTCCACGAAGAGAGCAGCGACTTTTTGGCTGTAAAGGACGAGATCAGCCGTTTCCCGAACACGAAGATCTTGATCGGTTACGTCCCCTCGCTGACCGCGGAAGGCCAGTTCTACATATGCCTGACCGAAGAAGGCCGAGACGCGGTGATCGAACATATCCAGAAACAGAGGGTGGAACATGAAAATCGAGTGCGGACGGCCGTCTACAAGCCGTTGGGAGAATGGATGGATCTCACCAGTAGCACGGAGATCGAAGCGAGCATCGTTAAAAAGACCAGACCACTTTTAGAAATCGAGGTAACGCACGTGCATATAGGCTGCCAAAAGGCTGTGTGTAGCTAATTTAATTTTCCACTAAGTAATTTGTGACTCGGTTTACAACTGTTCGGCGTAGGTGATAGGCACGGCGGACGTGCTCAACGTGCAACTCAATCTCGTAGACAGAAGGGTCGAAGACGTCAGAGACGGATACATCGAGCTTCTGCCTTATCGTCAAACCTTTGAGAACGTATCGCGAAAGTTGTTGTACAACGATACCCAAGTCAGCCCGATCGTTCGGAACGTGAAAACTCAAACGGTGCTCTCGGTACCCAGGAATTGTTGGGTTCAATACGAGTACACGTACGAATCTCCCGATATAGCGAGTTTCACCGAGGAGAAACTGGAATCGTTGAAAGGTTTCCTCAATCGTTTCACCGACCACGTCTGCGATCAAGTTGGTGGTTTTACGAGGCTCGAAGAGATCCTCCTCCTCCTCCTCCTCCTCCTCCTCCTCTTCTCGATATCTCGCGGCACGATAATCGTTGAAACCTAACGCTTCCAGCTGATGGTAAACGCTACCTGGGACATTTACGACCACGATTACGAGAAACTGGTGAGGAACGTAAGGGACACGCAGTGGCCTATACCCGTCAGCTACCGGGAACATTTGAGTTTCCACGACGAGAAACACGTGGTCAACAAAGTTATTAACGATCTGTGCTGGCACCCGCTCTGGAGCGGCATAGCGTTCTCCGCTTACACCAGCTATGGCAAGAGCCAACATCTCGCAGGCCCTAAATCTGACGCCGAGGTAGACACCCTCCATCAAAAGTTTTCTCGAGCCAAGAGGTCAAATCATCAGGTTCTCTTCAGGTGGTCAAAGCTTGCGAGAATAATTTCGTTCTCGTCTGGTCGTTCAACGATTGCTTGTCACCGAAATTGGTATTGGAATGTCCGAGGGAAGTGACGTCCGTAGCCGTGAATCAGTTGGACAGCAATCTGGTCGTCGGTGGTTGCGCGAACGGTCAATTAAGTATCGGTGGAAAATTGGTGTCCCGAGCAAATCCCGACGAACGAATTCAATTACAGATCGTGATCTGGCATATTCCCGGAAAAATCGAGAAGGTCGAAGCGGTAATCGTTCAGACGGCCGCTCAATTGAGGCATAGGATCACGATAAAAAGTTTGACTACGTGGATGCAGGAAATAGTAGGAACGTCGATAGTCAGACCGACCGCGATGTCCTCGTTGAAAGACAGTCAAAGGGCGGCGGTGACTCGGGTCACGTGGATCTCGCCGTACGACAAGCTGGACATAACCGGTAGAATCGTATCGTTACCGGAGGACACGCCCGTCGACGATCTGTCCTCGCAATTCATTACCGCCAGCGAGGACGGTACGATCGCGTTCTGGGATTTAAAGTTGGAGAGGTATGTCTAATTGACGTTCGATGCGACATGTTTCGATTGACATATCACCATTTGTCGTGAGGTGGCAGTCGTACGAGAAGAAAGTTCGCAAGAAGAAAGGGCAAGTGAAGAGGCCGGAAGGATTGGAGCAGGCGATATCCCCGTTCAAGAAATTGGACCGCGTGTTCAAGCCTCATTACGTCTTGAAGGTGCAACATCCGCACGAGAGTCGAAACGTTGTGATCACCACCATCACCGTGCACGTGCACGAACTCGAGAAGGAACGTATAGACGTTACTCCGGCCGAGGCGGACGTAACGATTCGTAGGTTCTTTCGGAACGTGGTCAAGAAACCGGAGATCGAGATGAAACCGATAATACACGTCGGTACCGTGGAAGGTAGGCGAGAACAAACGAGATCGAGCGAAAGTCACGACACTCGAGGATTCTTGCGTTCGTCAGGCGATTTCGGTTGCGTCACGTGGGAAGGGTACGATTTTACCACGGATCTAGCTATCAACAGCGAGACGTGCGATTGGATCTGGTTCAACAAGGTACACGACGGCCCGATAACGGGTTGCGTCAGGTCGAAACAGGACGGAAGATGGATCGCTACCATAGGTGGGAAGGTATTTGCCATTTGGAGAGACGATATCGGTATACCGCTGATATGGAAGAAATCGGACGTCAGGTGTGCTCGTATTTCGGCAATCAATTTTTAAACGAGCGTCTTCTGCACGGTAACGCTTCTCCCCATCGTCGTAGCTTCACCGCCGTCACGTGGGGAAGTTTACGTCCTACTCTACTTCTTCTCTCGAGAATGGACGGTAGCGTGGAAATATGGGACTTTATGATAAAGAGCGAAGAACCGTGCGTGACCCAGAGTCTGTCGGGTCGCATAATCACGGGAATTTATAGCCACGACTTGTCTGTAGACCCCCAGTGCGTAGGTTTCTGCGATTTCAATGGTATTTTAAGGCTGTTCCTGGCTCCTGCCGTTTTCCTTCGAACGGACGATCCGACCATGGACTGGATGGAGAACTTCATCGATCGGCAGATAGAAAGAGTAGAGTTCATTCGATCGTTCATTCGCCTACTGCTGCCCTACTATCTACGGTTTACGTCTACGCGACGACTGGAACTTTCAACGGTGTTTTCGAATTCGTTAGGTGAAAAATTGTAAAGCATGGACGGAAAAATGGTTGGAAAATCAAAAGGAGATCGAAGAGAAGATGAGATTGGCGAAAGACGCGGAGATAAAGATGCAGCTGGAGGAAGAGCAGAGAATTTTTGCTAGAACGGTAGAGACGGAAGTTGCCGAGGAGCCTGTGGCAAGGAGCTTGGTACGTTCCGTTTCGTCCAACTGACCGTTCCTGACGAACAATGAATTTGATGCGGAGATTTTACAGAAACCGTGGGAGCTGATCCAAGAAGCGCGAGAGAAATGGAAAGAGAGGGAGTTGAAGCATATGCAGCAGGTGATTTTGGAGAAGAAGGGTTTGAAGAAGGACGATCTCGAGAAGCAACGTGAACCTATTCTGAAGTTGCGCCAAGACGCGGAGAGGAAAAAGAAGAGGTTGAGGGACACGTTGAAGATGCAACAGAGCATCTTCGAACACACCAGGAACCTCTTCTTCCCTACCCAACAGTCGGAGACGAGAAAGGTGTCGTTGCCGCCCGTTCGGAGGAAAACGGAAATTGCCGAGGAGGATAGTATACTCGCGCAGGAAGTGATGGTAAACGAAAAGTTACACTGTCAAATCGTACTACTGCACGGTATCAGACGAACGGTACCGCCTACTACTCGTAATCAATCGTTTATCGATTCGAAGGACCTGCAACGCGTCGATCCGAGCGAGGAGATCATATACCACTTTATGGAAACACAGGCTAAAGTGTTGGCCGATTTACAGAAGAACCCGTTCCAGCATTCGTTCGACTGGAGGAAAATCTTAGAAAAGGGTAGAACGAGACGCGCCACGATGGACGTCGGATTGAGAAAATTGAGTAGATCCAAGAGAATCAGCAAAGTTTGAAAAGTTTCAATTAAGAATAAACGATTGCGTTGAACGCGCGCGTGTATTGTCAAATTTAGCTGCATCGGTAGCGAGCGGAACGAAGACGGTGAAACGGGGGATGCAATGGTTGTAAAATTTCCACTGCCGCGATAAATGAATCACGATCACGAGGTGATTCATGATCGTAGGTCAGCCGACGTTTCACTTCACTGGCTCGCACGTACAATGTCTGGTATTGGTCGTAAGAAGGACTCGAGCAGACTAACGAGAACAATTGAGAAACCTGCCACCGCGTACATCGTAAACGTTTCAGTTTCGTTGCGCGAAAAATTAAGGAAGCAGCAACCGCAACAATTCTCGGCCCGTAATTGGATGCAGAACGTTTCGCAAATTTGTTTACGGACGTTCGATTTATGCAGATCAGATTGCTCAACCGCTTAACTTCCGTCCGAGGAATCGAGTTTCTTTCTCTTACGATATTATATAAGAAGCTATTATTGCGTTGCGCGAGTTCACACGTTCACGTTATTAGTCGGAATAATTGATAAAAATACCACGTAAATACTCAACGAGAAGCATTGCGCAATCGATAGGAATCTAATCCTCGTCTAAAAAATAGTTGAACCATCGAAATAACATGAAGTGGCGTTTCAGGTGGAGTTATCATTTTTACTCGATCGCCTGATAGCGATACCACTTATCTCCAGCCAAATCTATCGTCCTGTTCGACTATCGTCTAGTCGTGATATACATTATTTAACGACGCATAATCGGTCTATACTGTATGTTGTAGTAGTTGTTTGTAACTATTTTAATGGTGTCGAGTGGGGGGATAGTTGGTCGAACGAGCACGTACTCGTATAAGCAGGATCTTTGCACAGCATCCAGTCAGTTAGCCGGTGCTCGTGATTGCTAGAGCTTATGCCCGTATTCGCGGCACGATCCTTTCACTTTCTGCATCCACGTACATAGGTACGTATAGATGCTTCAAGGCTGAGAAGTTTCTCGCCTAGTTGCTCGCGGCGATGCGACATTTGCTTGTTTCACGTTTTTAATTAAATTTTACGGTCGACCGTGATACCTAGGAATTATTATATATCTCGAACAGTGTAATTTCATCATCGCCCCCTCAAAGAACCAGCTGAAAAAAAGAGCTCGGTATTGAAAGACGCGCATAGATTTAATTTTCTACTCCTCCGTGTGAAAAGCAGATACCTGTCCGCTGCAACGAAAACGTTACATTGTTTTGAATGAGCGAAAGAAGAGAAGTACTCGGCAACTTCTACCATCTTAATTTTGTTTTCAGATCATTTACCATGAATCGAATGATCGTACTGTTTCTTGCTCTCGTGGTTGCGGTCCTCGCAGAGGTAAGACAAATAGTATGTAGAAAATGCGTAGTTCGCGTTCGAGAGAAACATGGTTTTTATGGGACGAAACTAATGTTGCAGCAGAAGACCGCCCGCGTACAGTTGACGCCTCACAATGCCCAAACGAGAAACGTGACAGGGGAGTTGAACCTCGTTCAAGACGCCGACAATTCCATTTTGATTACCGGCAGAATTAGAGGACTCACGGAAGGGTTACACGGCTTCCACGTGCACGAAAAAGGAGATCTTAAGGATGGATGCACGTCCACCGGCCCGCACTTCAATCCGCGGAAGGTAAGTGATCCATCGATTAAAATCAGAGAAATCGAATCGAGCACGCACGAGATCAGGGTTATCAAATGGAAAACTCTGCGCGTTCAAGGTACATCATGGTGCACCGCATGACTCGGTGAGACACGTTGGCGATTTGGGAAATATTCGGGCGAACGATCAAGGGGAAGCGACGGTCCACATCAGGGACAACGTCATTTCCTTCTCTGGTGAAAACAACATCGTCGGGCGCGCGTTCGTTGTGCATTCCGGGGTGGATGATCTAGGAAAAGGAAACAGCACGCTCTCTTCGACCACTGGGAACGCAGGAGATCGCTGGGCTTGCGGTATCATCGAGCTTGTTTAAAATTCACGCATCTTGTCCGATGTTCTCTTCCCCTTATACAATTATTCTAATAACATTGTACACCGTGACCCTGTGACTCGTATGTACTCGCGTAATAAAGGGAACAGACCTAAGAACATGTACGAACATTGTTGGTTACCGCTTACCCGGCTTCATTATCTCCCGCTGGAACTGTCCTCCGCAAGAATGATTTTGATACCGATTTCACGATTAAAACGTGCTACCATTCAGCACGTTATCAAATTTATTACTCCTCGCTTTGTACACTGTTTCGCACAGGCAACGCAATTACGCAAAGGTGAACCGGTAAACCGACGCTGAACTGATACAAACTATACTGGAACTGGTACTTGGTCGCTCGTTTAGATGGCGCTTGATTCTATAAGATGGCAGCGAGGCGAGGTTCGAGTTCGAATATATATATGTCTGGTCTTTACTGTTCTTTACTTTAAAATCGTGGTATAGTCGATCGATTAACAGTAGGACTTCAACGACAGCAACAAGTTGCTGCGATAAGTAGTTGTATCCGTCACTAAACCATTTTTATGTAAATCTCGCATGTATCAGTTTTGAAGAAGTTTCCTCAAAACAATCAGATAAAGACTGTTGCTCGATGGATCGATCGTGACCTGCTACATTTTACGAATAAGTGAAAGTTTATCTCGGACAAAACGGTCCGATTTAAGCGATGCAAGGTCAGTTGGAATCTCGATACAGTATTTCTACAAAGTCTGTGTGAATGATCGTACATGATACGTGTAATATAGAAATTGAAATAGGTGTTAGATACGATTTAGAGATATTCCGATAGTTGATAACACAATCGGAATATCATATCATACGTGACCGATTACTCTTAGCGAGCACGTAAATACGTACAGAAATGGGTGGAAATAATTGTAAAGGACTTTTTTCAAGAAGCTCTAGTACCGATCCAACCAAATCGTCCACATCAGGTGCGAACTATTATTATTTTTCTTTTTTTTAAATGGCACCACGTCGCATGAACATTTACCGTGCATGCATCTCTCAACGACAGGACACGTTTAATGTGTTAACGTGTCCTGTACATTCATGGTACGTTTCTCATTCTGTGTATTCCTCGCGCTTCCTGACAATTTGAAATACAATTTTAAGACGTACGTACTGATCATGATTTTACAATCAGGTGTTTCGAGAAATATTGACGGATACCTATTAATTATCGAATGGTATCGAATTTTTCTCTCTGGTATCGGTGGTACAGGTACCGCGTGACGACAAATGTAACAGCTGATCGATTTTCGTGTTCCCCAATCTCCGATCAACGGTCGGAAATTTCATGTGCCAGACGAAAATCCTCTTTTGTTTCATGACATTACACCGCTTATATCGTTCATTATTCATATGATTAGATGATGATTGATATCTTTCCGATGTACAACGAATGATTTAAATGTTTTTCGCGACTATTACAAGTCATTCCATTTAAGTAGTCTATACGTACCCATTACGTACGTTACCCATTATAGCGAAAAATCCTTGACGCGTGTGTATATACATAGATATGATGGTTTCCATTAGATATAGATATAGTTTGCCGAGAAGGGAAGCCTGAACTATACTTATCCTTGGAAAACTGACATGCAACGAGCAATTGCGATGAGTAGCACCGAACCGTTTTGACGCTCGAGTATGCGCTTTTACACTGCGAGAAATTGTATAAAAGTAGCTTATAACTCGATTTTTAACGCTCGTTTAAAGCCAGCCGTCGGAACAATGTCTGAACGGAAGATCCATACTTGCAGTGAGTGTAACAAGCCGAGAGAAGATATTAGACGGTCACGTAACAGTGCACAGTGTTGTTGTAGTTGTGAGTCAAGGGTTTCACGATAGCCGACCTAATTTACATCCAAGTACCATTCACGTTCGCGCCCATTCTTTAAAATCGTTCCACGTACCGACGAATCGAGCCTGTGGTTACATTAAAAAAAATAGTAACACTTGTCCGTAGTACACGCACGTATGTCTGCGCGCACGAGAGAGGGGCAGGGGGATTAATTATAGATAATCATCTCCGTCACATAAGCACTTCGTATGTATTTAGGTAAACCAGAGAAATATGACTACGTCGAAGATGTGGTATGCAAGGAGTCGGACATAAAAGAGAATGAAATGAAACTGCTACCCATCGGGGAAGACGGAGGGAAAATTCTATTGATCAAGCAGAAGGGAGAACTGCATGCCATCGGGACGAAATGCACGCATTACGGTGCTCTGCTCAGTACCGGAGCGTTGGGAGACGGGCGAGTAAGATGCCCCTGGCACGGTGCCTGTTTCAATATAAAAACGGGAGACATAGAAGATTATCCAGGATTGGATTCTCTGCCCTGCTACCAAGTAATTGAATACAAATGTACGATCGGTGTACCGGTGCTCAACTAATCCGATGCTCGTTGAAACAGGTAAAAGTGGACGACAGCGGCCTTGTGCGTGTTAAGGCGAAGCGTAAAGATCTGGACTTCAACAGAAGGCTCAAGAAGATGTACGAACCGGATTCCGAGGACAAAACTACCGTTGTGATAGTCGGCGGTGGGCCAGCAGCCGCAGTTTGCGCGGAAAGCTTGAGGCAAGAAGCGTTTAAGGGAAACATCGTGATGATCTGCAAAGAGAACAGTGTACCTTACGACAGGATAAAGGTATCGAAGATCTTCGACTTAAACATGGACAAAGAAGTGCTGAGGCCGCCGTCGTTCTACAAGGACAATAAGATCGAGATCAAAGTGGGCGTAGAAGCAACGGGTAACGGACGTTCTAATATAAAATGTCCTGTTTCATTGTGTTAATTAGAAAGCCCAATTAATTATGAACTCTTTGCAGGATTGAATACGGATGAGAACGTCGTTCAACTGAGCAACAACGAGAAATTGAATTACAACTACTTGTTCATCTGTACTGGCAGTAAACCGAGAGTGCCAGACATACCTGGCGTCAATCTATCCAACGTCCATGTAATGAGAAATTACACAGATTCCCACGCGATAAACGAACAATTGTCACCGGAGAAGCATGTCGTGATTCTCGGGTTCGGGTTTATTGGCATGGAGGCTGCCGCTACTTGCCTAGATAAGTGCGGATCTGTTACTATAGTAGGGAGAGGTAGTGTACCTTTGCAGCCAGTTTTCGGAACGGACATCGGTAACAGGATCAAGCGAATGTTCGAAGAAAAAGGTAAACGACGTACTTTTAACTTTGTTCGCATCGAAATTAGAATGAAAACGAATGGAGTATCTGTTTCAAGGCGTCAAATTTATGTTCGACTGTAACATCACGCAGTTCGTCGCGAAGGAAGGTGAACCGAACAACGTAGGTTCAGTCGTACTCACTAACGGGGAAGTTCTTCCTGCCGATATAGTGATCATGGGAATTGGATCCACGTTTTATACGGACTGGTTGAAGGACTCTCCGTTAGAAATCTTGAGAGACGGCAGTATCAAAGTCGATAACGTGAGTAAACGCGATGCGACAGGATGTCGGGATGCACCTTGTCGTGGAAGTGAATCCTTCTGTTCTGTTCGATTTCAGTACTTGAAGACGAACGTGGCGAACGTGTACGCCGGTGGCGATATAGCGTACGCACCGGTGTACGGTTCTAATGATTCGGCCGCGATCGGCCATTACTCGTTGGCGCATTACCACGGTAAAATGGCAGCATTGAACATAAGTGGCAAGAAAACAGCCATGAATGCCGTACCGTACTTTTGGACTATGCTTTTTGGAAAGGGATACCGATACGCCGGTACGTTGCGCTAGCATTTTCACCTCGGCGTCGAGGGCCGGGAAGAACTTTCGTCCCACGTATTGAATATGCATGTATTACTCAGGACACGGGAGACCGGACAAAATAAGGATGTACGGTTCCTTGGAAAACCAGGAATATTTCGCGGTCTACATAAAGGACGGTAAAGTCATCGCGGTAAGTAGCGCCGGAGCAGATCCGATTGTATCGGATTTCGCGAATCTACTTTACGAAGGAAGGACGGTGACGGAATCTGAGCTCAATGAAGACCCGTTCGGTTGGATAAAAAATAAACCGAAAGACTTTCATCGATTTCAAACTGAATCTATACTAAAACCCTGAGACAGGAATGGCCGCAATGGAAATCGTAGACGAGCAAAGTTTCGTATTAGTATACTCACGCTATGTATCGATTTGTGATTGTACAATTTGTATTATTGCATATTTTGTTAATCTATTTTTATTATTATTATTATTATTAAAAGAAAATGAAATGAAAAGTTTATATTACACGTGATTGTATCATTTTCTGCAGTATTAAGCGTTAAATCATACGATCCATCTTTCATCTTCCATTGAATAATCATATTATACCTACTTTTTCTAATACGAATTTTAATCCCAACGCTCAGTAACGGTCAAATGATGCAGCCTGTCCGCTATAGTGATCTTTTTGTTAAATTTTTCATTGGCTGCTTCATACCAGCCGTTCACCGTCGCATTCATACGTGCAGCTTTAAATTCCTTCATGTGTCCGTGACTCTGTTCGCTAGTGAGGTAAGGATGTCTCAGAATCAACATGTTCTTCTCTTCTCTTTCGAGATCGTTCTTAAAATCAACAATATCCTTCAGAGTCACTCGTTTTTCTTTACGATGTTTCCTGGATTCGACACATGTGCGCGTTAACAATCGTAAGCACATGTAACCTATCAAATTCCAATGTGGTACGAGAGCTTATACGTACCCACGAAACCGATATGGAATATCGTGAACTCTGTACGTCCAAAGCATTCTTGTTATACGCATTTTAATTGTAACTACTATTAGCTAAACAGTGAAAATTGGTTTCTGGAAAATTCCGATCGATTTTAACCTATATGTTTGTCTTGCTGCGCGGAACACAACCGAAACATATGTACGTACACATATCTCAAATGATTTTTGGGGTTGCTCGTGGCACCATCTAGTGTTCATGGCTGCAATTTTGGGACTAGCTTCGCGTACACGTGGCGCCATCTAGCGTTCATGGCTGCAATTTTGGGGGCTAGCTTCACATACACGTGGCGCCATCTAGCGTTCATGGCTGCAAAAATATTGCCGTACATATTGGAGTCAAGCAGGTTCGCAGCCGTGAACGCTAGATGACGCCACGAGCAACCTCCTTTAGATTTTGTGAAATTTTAGTTTTAGTTTCAGAAATAAATACTCATTTTGTTCAACAATCCCACTTTTTTTTACAAAAAATAAAAAATGCAGTCTCATCAATTTTTAAATAACAGACGAGTACCTCGTCTTATTAACGCTGATACCAATAGCTATTTAATACTGAATTAAAATTCTAACCCTGATCTTCCTTATAGTTTCGCGTTCCCAAAATTGTCTCTTTGATCATTCACGGGATGATCACAGGAGGTTCTTCTCTTCAGCTTCTTCAGCCCATTCCTCTAGTGTACAATTAAAAATAGAATTTCTCATAAGGGTGATGACTCAACGAGATTATTTACCTGCTTCTCTGAAGCGTTCACAACTGGATCTAAAGTAATCGTTTGGATGCATGAATGGAGCACTTAAAACAACTTCGTGTGTAGCTTCGTAATACCTCTTGCACGCCTGAAGATGTTCGCTCCGTTCCGTCAGCGCAATTATCTCCTCCACATCTGACAGAGATTTAGATGTCGTCACTGGTTATTCACCGCCAGATCCTACTTCCTTTACTCACCGAGTTTGAGAAGACCGTGTTCCTGAAGTGTTGTTCTAAGCAAAGGAGTCGACATAGATTTGTAAGGGCAACCGTGACAATCCCTTGGAAGAAGAACCGTGTCTATTATTTTCGAACATCCAAAAGGCTGATAATCCGCCATCCTTCCCACCCTCCCATACAAATGTTCGACGTAGTATCTATATTCTGTTTCAAATTCCTCCCGAGGCACGATTCGACGGAATTCCGTACTCCACAGTCGAAACGCAGCGTCAAACGGAAGGCCGATTCCTTTAAGAAACAATGTGTATTGCACGCGACCGCCGTTCGTGAGATGATGATCACGTCTCAGTGCCTCGTGTACTATTCTCATGCACAGTGGGTACGATCTCTTTGACAACTAACGAATGCGCCCGTTACAATGTGATTAACAATAAAAGATTTTATTAAAAATAAAATCGAACGTACCGAATCCAAGTCTTCATACGTTATTTCATCTGGATTATCGGTCCGTTTGAAATATCCTTCCGCGGATTCTAAAAGTAGCTTCGTCAAAGTGGCAAATCTCTCGTCGCTGGAATTCATGCCGTGTACCCATCGTCCTTGCTAAAACAGGTTCGAAAATATTCGATTGTCACGTTGCGAGGTCGATACACGTATACCCAGACTCACAGCCGCGCTGAATTTTAACTTTTTGGAAAAATTGTGTACGATGGGGTGACCCATTTTGGGTTCTGGCACATGGGCCGTTCCGTGTCTCAGATACACCTGTCCGTGGGCGACTAAATCTTTCACGTGAGTGAAGTATACTTTATAAAAATTCATCTCTTCCACTTCCTTGGGTGTACGATACGATTCCAATGCTTGACTTATCTCTCTCCTTTCTTCCATAGAAATCTAAATGAAACCAACTAATGAATACGTTTACAGTCGTAATGTTGTGTCACGCGATTGATTCGTACTGACCGTAGGATACGTGATATCGTTCAGCTTCATGAAACGGCGGACGCTGGTCAATGGAAAAGAGCAGAGTCTCCACGCGAACAAGTTCACTTCTTGTCTAACGAACCAACTGATTTTCTTCGTATCAAAAGCAAATGCGGACTTTAAAAGGAAATGCGCCATGCCGTCGAATATAACGAGACGCTTTCTTATGCATGGGTCACAGTCGGAATGGACGTTGTAAAGCGTCGCGAACTCGGTAAGATTGTTTTGCTCCAACAACTGTAATAGGGCAGGCAGGCGAAGAGCAAACTTTAAACGCTTTTTCTCTACCTCGGCGACGTAGCCGAGAACTGCGAAATAATGTATCATCAGCTTAGATTAAAATTTCATGGTAAAACGTCAACATGTTACCTCTTAATCTGTCGAAGCTCCATTTGTACAGTTCGTCCAGTCGTACATTTCCACGCGCGGGAGGAACGACGTACATTTGCAAATCGTGCTCATAAACGGGATCGAACTGCTCATTTTCAATCGGTGTATGAGAATGGTAAGAATTATAAAGACCGCGTTTCCTCATATTTCCTATTTTCAACGTGTATCTCCTCGGTGTCGATACGTCACGAGCATGTCCGAGCACGCACGGAGAATCGCAAACGAAATCAACCGCCATCCACCGAACCCGCCAAACACGCCGACGACACCACCAGACACCACCGACTGACGACAACTTGAAATGATTCGAATTTCCACCGCGTACCGGGTGCGCAGCCGCGTGCAACAAGTATACACACGCTTTGGACATTGGCAGACGACAGCGTTACCGCTTGGCATCAGCTCAGCCTTCGATTGCTTTCGATTTCGATAGTATGTACAGGGCAGAATCACGTACGTATATCCAATCCACACCGACGACAGTTTCACATTTCGTTTTTGTACGATGATGCAAAGTTACAGTGTTTCATTTTTACTATTGTTCAGCACCGTTATAAATTTCGTAGCCATTATTCGTTAAAGCGTTTAATAAGTAACAAGGTACGATAAGTCTAGTTTAACGAACACGTACACGCAGTGATCTCTAAGTATATACTCATCGTTGACACAAAGTGGGTCACGAAAACATTACAATTCTATTCTGTAACAGACGATGGAGTTGTCTTTAAAATTTTGTGCAACGGAATAAACCGTCAGTATTAAGGTATTAAGCCGACAGCCGAGTAAGACAATCGCGAGGAATTACGGTAGCTACGTTTCATATATACTGCGTAGATAGAGGTTGTAAAATGATAAATGATATTTCCGGACGTTCATCGTAATTGTAACATCTTTTCACGTCGCTTATTCGTTGTAATTTGCACATTGATCTCAAATAGCCGATCCAAGCAACGTCTCTCTCCGTTTCTTTGATCTTTGCCGAATCATCGCGTCGCGTTTCAGCTACGACAGATTATTACACTTGAAAGAGTAAACCGTCCTTCAAAATATTGCGATAAGAAAAGAAACATCTTTACACAGTAGTTCTATTGTTTGGGACCGTTGAAATTATAACGTATTTACTTGCGTTTTGCTTGCTTACAGATTGATATGAAAGTTGAGATACGTTCTTGAGGTCTTTTACATGAATCACAGTTGGTACTAGAGAGAAAGAAAAATGAACAACTTTCACGACGATATAGACATGAAAGAGATACTGCAGCTTGGAAAGCTTTTGCGTGAGAACGGAGATAAAATATTAAATTCGTCGAGCAAGCTCTCTTTGTCGACCACGCTGCTGCATAATTTAAACATGGCCTTCTCGTTGATTGTGGATCAGTACGACGATTTGGAAGCTTCGTTTCAAGTGTGCAACAGTTCAAAGATCGATGTATTTCGCCACCTAAAGTTTTTACACGACTTTGTACAAAAGACTCGTGGATTGAAAGTGACTTGTTGCCCGAACAATCCCAACGTGCCTGTTGACATTACTAAATTCAGGCATTTGAAGTATCTTGAATTGAAGAAGATCAATATTGATTCTGTGCGAGGACTACAGGGTGTCAGGGGTCAGCTCGAGAGCGTCGTTTGTGCTGGCAGAAGAGGGGTCTCTAATGTGAAACAGCTGTTGGGTAATTCGTTATTCATAATTAGCCACACGGATCTGAGGTTTTAAACTGAAAAGACTTGTACCAATACCACTTTCGAACAGTCAGCTGCGGCGGAGACGCTGGAATCGGATTCGTATGGGGCTCTTTGAAACATTTGGCGTTGCCGCACAACGCCCTGGAAAAATTGGACGCATCCCTGGAACTAGCGCCTTGGCTACAAGCGATAGATCTGAGTCACAACTTGCTAACGTCCGCAGAGGAGATATTCTGCTTGCCTAACGTGAAATACGTGAATCTTGGATACAACAGACTCGAGATGATATCTGTATCCAACAAGGCAGCGTCACACACTCTACGAGTATTGGTATTGAAGAATAATTACATGGAAAATTTAAATGGTAATACAACCAGTTCAGACCGTCCAACGTCTAGACAATTTCTAAACTACCCGACCGACAGGACTATTTTACTTGTGTATTTTTGCACAGGTCTGCAAAATTTAGAGTGTTTGACAGAGTTGGACTTGTCTTACAACTGTTTAACGGAGCATTCGGTGTTGTGGCCTTTGGAGAACATGTCGACTCTGTTATGGGTGTGCTTGGAAGGCAACCCGTTGGCGTATCACCCGCTGCATCGATCGAAATCGATGAAATACTTGCATCCAATTTTGGCCGACAGCGAGGTAAATAGTGCGAGAATGAACATTGTATCGACCGACGTGATCATTGTTGAAAAGCGTGAGTAAAGTTTCACAATTTAGTTTGTTTTAGATCATTTGCCACTTTCGAGGACCGAGAAGCAAGCCGTTAAGGAGAATCGACAATTCACAATTAGATCCGAGCAGTCCGCGTCGAGCGAGTTTCTGGCCTCGATGTCTTCCGTCAATTCAAACAGTTTATCCGCGTCTATCGATACGACGAACATCAGCGATTTCGTAGCGGCCAAGTCGGTAGAGGGGACGAGCAGCAGCAGCATGGAAAGGAGCTTTTTTAAGAAACGGAATCGAATAAAAGAAGCGATCATCGCGGAGGACGAACAAGAAAAGAAGGAATCACAAGTCTCCGCTTCGTATTCCGGTAGCGTGTTACTTCCCGTTCCGATCACACCATCTCGCGTATCGAAAACTGGATGATGCAACGCGTTCTCGTGTCGACATTTTCGCAGGTGCTTCCAAAGACCACTTGGAAGTAAAGAAACAGATACTGGCGGTGCGAAAGAGGTTCGGGGAGGAGAACTGGCTGAGTAGTCACGCTGGAACTTTTGTTCAAGACATCATGGGTTTCGAACCTTCGTCTTGCCCCGCGTTAACACCGGAGTCTACGTTAAGGAATTTAGACACCGCGGACAGCGTGCAGGACACGCGAGACTCCGCGGTTCTGTCGATTCAAAACGCACAACGAACCGAGACGAACGAAGACTCGTCGGCAAAGGACGTTAACGAAGTCAGCGACGGTAAAGACGAAGGTATAGTATTGGCCGAGGAAGAGAATAGTCCCGAAGTTCTATTATCAGCAAACGACGTGACGAAGTTGCTCCTGAATGAATCCGAATCTGGATACGACCCGGACGAAGGTACGGACGTGTACGTGATGCGCAGAATGAAACAACGTCCATCGAAATCGTTCTAAACTCGTAAAAAATGTTTTAGAAACGGGAGAGTTGTATCTGGTTCAGAAGAAGAAAAACGAAGACGAGATGGAAGACTTGTTTTTAATAATAACAGCGGAGTGAGTATCTTGACCGATCGTACGTATGAAATACGTTTCGTATTTATTAAATTATATGAATGATCCTAGCGATATCAAAGAACGAGATTCGATTACTGGGAAACTAAAGTCGAGTTGGTCGACGAGTTCCGTGTTATCGTGCGTGTTGGGTAGAAGCGAACCAGTAACGGTGGATATCATTTTTGACACGACCCGAGAAAATCGACAGAATAGAAGATATTACGTGGAGCCGGATATCGCAAAGGTAAAGAAGCGGACTTGCACAAATTGTGTATAAATGACACCAACGAGTGACGATTGATACATACGTTCTACAGACAATAGTGGAAGTAATTGGCGAGAGGATGAAGAAGAGACCGATACTGTTGAAAGTATTTAAATGCATGAAGTGCTCGACCCATTTCTCCGAAGACACCGAGTATCTTACTTTTGTAGGTTCGTCTGTGTCGAGTGGGTTTCCTTTTTATTATTATCATCACCATTATTATTATTATTATTGACGATTATGATTATATAAATTATGGTACACATGTTACAAAGCGCGTATTCTATTAGATATGAAGCAGTTGAAGTGTCCTACATGTAAGAGCACTCTAGTGGTAGAAACAGACGAGTTATCCACGATGGACACGGAACATGATGATTCGGAGCACGCGATGAGACCTGAGAATACAGTTAGGCCCCACTTGAAACACTCTGAGTCTTTCTCTAGCATCGGTAAGTTTCGAGCCGATCGTGCATGTAATTTAACATTTTGATTGATAGTAAGTTTGTTAGTTTGAACGAAAGTAACGAACATCCCTTTTAGAACCAAGTAATTAGTGGTTTAAGTTTTATGTAACATGGTCTTTATCGTTTCTGTATGTTATTATTATTAAATTTGTTGATCTTGTATTAACAAGACTGTAAAATAACAAGAATTCACAAGGTTTCTACAGTAAAGATTGTATTATTTGTTCGTTTGTATCGTTGAGCTCTAGAGTTAGTGTTATTAGTGATTTTTAGCGATAATTTCATTCCACAATAGATGGACAAGTAATTATCTAATTAATTTATTGAATGCACACTAATTTCTTTTTAATTGCCGACTGCGTTATTCATTGCATTTTACTATCGACTGGGACTATAACATACACTAATCCCGGTGCAGGTGGAACGGAGGGCGGGCCTATATCCGTCGCCACTTCTCTGGTGCACTTTGATTCTCACATCCAAGCTCAAGTCTGCTGTAAGCTTCAGCCACAGTAATTTTATTACATCACTGTCTGTTACTCTAGTTTTCCCTCACAATCAAAGACATGAGCTGTAATATTAGTCGCTTGATCTTACTGGCCGTTTCATATTAATATTACCAGGCCCATATTTTCGATTTTTGTATTCGCAATATGTACAACGTACATACACGATTATAGCGGTCCTAATTATCTTTATCTTACTGTTCGAAATTGTGTAATTACGTAGAAACCTAAAGTTACCATTGGACGGGGAGGGGGTAGGATACGTAGAAACTACTAAAACCATTCGGGGACAAAAAGAAAAGTTCTTTTATCAATTCTATCTCGCAAACTCACGTTAAATCGATACGTGTACATATACACGATAAATGTTACAGACGAATACATCAGATTTAGAGAAAGTTCACTGATATATTTGATCATTCATAGGTTCGGCGACGAGCTTGGAAGAATCCAGGGAATCTACACCGTCTACGAACGCGTTAAATAAAAAGTACGAGAGCGACATAGAAGTGATCAGCAATCCGAGTCAGAGCAGCATCGAGGTTCTAGACGATGCGTCGAGGTAAATTTGATAATCAGCCTGCAGACGCTTGTATGGTTGCTTTGTAAAATATAATTCGTGACAGGACTCATCTTACGCCGAACGGAAAGCGTTCTTCGGAGGAAAGGCGTACAGCCGTCGCCCCGTCTCTTTTAACGATACCGGACGCAGCGGCGATCACGACCGGCTTGACCGAGAGCAGTTCCTCAGGTTCGTTTCAATTTTATTCGCGATGCAATATCACTGATAACCGTGCTAATAACGTTGCGTCAGCAGGTTCACTAACGGACAGTATTTGTACAGCTTACGAAAATAAGGTAGTCAGGCATCGGGTGAACGCGGAGGACGCAAAGACTTTTAACAGTAACGATAAAGAGGCAAAACTCACGCCCGTAACGAATCTGACCTCGATGCTAGGTGGTTAGTAAACTCGCTCGTTTTCATCTACAAATCGTTCTTTTACTTTTAACTTATTTTCAAAGCTAATTCTAAATCTGACTCTCTAGGATTGCTCCAGAGTATAAAAATCGGTAGCAACAAACAGTTGATGTTGAAAACCGAGAAAGCACCGCGTTTCACGACCAACAACATTCAGTACTGTTACACAGATTTCAGCAGTATAGATCACAGACTGAAGTTACACATCGTTTTAAACGTGTTCGAGCACGAGAAGGAGGAACTCATTCTTCTCCTGAGGGCAGAGATATTGATGCAAAACTCGGAAGACACGTTTCCCGGTTGCCTGATTTTGTCCACATCGAAAGTTTACGTTCTCAAGATCGACGGACCGGAAGGGGAGGATCCTCAACGCTGGTTACGCAAACAGATGAGTTGGACGATAGACAGATTGAGACGTTTGTCACCGATACCGTTCAAGCAGGGTGTTCTGGTGGAATTGGAGCAACCGAACAGGACGGACGAGGAACTCGACTCGGCCATCACGTTTTTGTGCGTTCTACAAGACTTTCAACGAACGCTCAACTTTTTGTTCTACGTCACCGACTACTTGCTGCCACCGATTTGCGACCAAGTCGAGCTCACAGTTCCGGATCATTATACCACAGCGATGCATCGGTCGTTGAAGAATAGCAAGAGTTATCAAGACGGAGACAACGTCAGGCAGCTCGCGTTATTCTCCTCGGCCTCGTTCAAACATCATGATCTCGAGGTGCAATTGAAACTGTCTAGTTTGATAGTGACCGCGTCCGTTTTGGTCATATGCAATGTCCAGTGGCTACTTCCGGGTAGCAAGGAACTCCCGCGGATAATAAGGGAGCAAGCAATGAGTAATCTGGTCGGGGTGGTAAGCGTCGGAACGAAACCGCGAACGAACGTCGTCTCGATTTTTATGAAACCTTTTCAACGTTTCCAGGAGCAGTGTGGTTCTTTGCTGACGTTGAACTTTTTGGACGAAGTAGCGGGACGAGAAGAATCGTGGGTCTTGGAATTCGTCTCGGTGAACGCTGCCGACATAGTCATCACCTCTGTACGATCGCCGTGGGAGGAACTGTTTTCGATACCCTTGCAACACACGGTTCACAAACCGGAGAACGCATGAAGCGCCGATGAATACGTGAAGAATATTCTAGTCGACTGAAACGCGTCAGGTAAATCGTCTAATACGACTCGTTCAATTGATTCTCTCTTATTTTTCTCTACCTACTTACAAGATACACTTCGACATGCGCCAGCAGATTTTTTTTTAAAGAAAATTGATTGAAGACAAAGATAAAGAGAGAATCTTATGATGTTTGACCAACGAAATTATATGCAATCATTACGATACAGCGAAGGTATTTCAATATTCAACAAAACAAGTTTATCTGTTCGTTTCGTGCTTGTAACAACTCTTTTCCATTGTATCGGACTATTTATTTACAACACTATACATGTGTATATATACCTGTTTCTTACACGCTTTCTAATAATTTCTTGTACCGCTCGATTCGATGGGAGGCAAACGTAATTTGAAATGGTGCTATTAACTTTAAGACGTAGCTTAACTCGAAAAGTTTGCTACTAGAAAAAATTTTTTATATCAATAATTTATTATACATTTTAAACGATCGGATGCATGGTAGAATTTTCATCATTGACCACCGGAGCTCGTCACAATAACGAACAAAATTTGAACACATCCATCTGTGATAATCAGAGTTTGACCCTCTATGGGCCGAATTTTTTTCTTTAAACGTAGAAAATTTCGATATATATTAGCATGTAACCTGAAAGTTACGCGGGCCCATATGGGGTTAATATAATATATTTAATGTAAACTTTGATTTTTGTCATATCTATATGTAACATTATACATATATATTCTACTAGAATTACTGTTCGTAACGAAGCGAACGAAACGTGAGGGACAATTTTATATTAGCTCCGTACGAGGCTGTGGATATTTCACCGCGAAGGCCGCAGTTAATTAGACGTTTATTTACCTATTGTACGAATTATTGCTCGCCAAATCTAATTGAATTCAGCTCGGTGTATCACGAGAACGATGAACGTTATTTGTACATACGTATGTAAATAAATTGTTACCACGTCTATCTTTTGCAAGCTACTCTTAAGCCCCGAAAGGTACGTCGTTAAAAATTTAGCGGCGTCCGCAGCATGAACAGCTATAGTTCTAATTGAGACAAAACACTGAAAGACGTGTGTGCTCAAGGTATTGACGACAACGATAATGGATCGTGTAATATGTAAATGGAACAGTTGGAGACTGCTGGAAATAGCTCAGTATGTTTCTCAAGTTCATACGCGAAGTAGAGTGAGTCCAGCTATGCGATATTATGCTTTACTGTTAACTGTTACTGTTTTAATTAAAGTGAATGTTTAATGTTCGATTAACGAGAATGGCCCGAGTCATCGAAACTCTAATATTAATCGCAGCAAGTAAGTTTAATTCTATTCGTCCTGGTTTTTCTGGACTCGTCCAGTATTACTAATTAAAAAGAATCGTTTGAATCAGTACCGATCGTTGCCGGACACTTTGGATACAGGAGACGCGGTGTGTAACGCGGTCATTATTAAGTAAATGGTCGCAGCCAGTTCAGCAGTCTTTTTGTACGACATACAATATTTCAGACCAGTACGTATGGCAACGAAATTTTAAATTGTGCGGTGGGAAATTGCAATCTCCAGTGTCTATATCGTCGTCCACGTCCAAGTCGATTCCTGTTCCTCTACCTGCTCTAGAGACGATCGGCTATCACGACTTTCTTCCGACTCCGCTGTATTTGAGAAACGGTGGCCATTCAGGTATCAAAATCGTTCGACTACTTTGGAGACGTGACGAACCGTGTTCAATGTTTCAGTTCTTATAAATATACACGATCATCCAAGAAGAAGGCTGCCTTGTATATTCGGTGGCTCGCTCGATCCGAATCATGAATACGAGATGGATCATTTGCACTTTCACTGGGGTGCGAAGAACGACAGGGGTTCCGAACACGTTTTAAACGGTGTCAGGTATTGGAACAAGATTTGATTTTATCATTTTATATATCGTATCGTATTTTCTTGTTGTTATCGTATCGTAGGTATCCCATGGAAATGCACATAGTTCACAGGAATAAGGTTTATTCGAATTTTTCGAGCGCGTTGGATCATAAAAATGGTCTCGCGGTTTTGGGAATCTTTTTCCAAGTAAGTCGGATCGAAGAAACGTCCGTTATCCGTTTCATAGAATTTATAGTTTATAGTTTATTATTTTATAGTTGCAGGAGGAAGATAACGAACTTTTGAATCCTGTCGTAAAGGCTTTGAAGGATGTGCAATTGCTAAATGAACAAGTAAAACTGAACGCGCCCCTCGCATTGGCTTCGTTGTTGCCTAACGGTCTCGATGTCTTTTATACTTATAAGGGTTCGTTGACTACCCCGCCGTGCAGCGAGGCTGTGACGTGGATCATTTTCCCGAGTCCCACTCCGATATCCTTCTCTCAGGTACCGAGTTAACGATCGAATTAACGTTCACGCAAAATTGGATAATCGAGGGTCTGTTCAATTGCAGCTGCGTAAATTTCGGCTACTTCTAAACGGCGAACACGTTCTGGCGGATAATTATAGAAAACTGCAAAATCTAGGACCCAGGAAAGTGTTTGTACGAAGACCGAATTCATCTTTGTTTGCAGAATTCAACGGAACGATCGTTGACGCCACAAGTCTAGACTGGTTTGGCATCAATTTTAGGATAGACCAAACAAGACAAGCGTAAATAAATGCGATTATACGTTGGAAATCATTGTCGTTTACTCGCTACTTTCTTGCCTTCCAAACCCGTTCACGCCCTTTAAGACACACAAGAGATAAGCGTAGAAAAAGAAAACAGACTTTATAGACCATCTATTTGGGAGAAAAACGAGACCTTATCAATCCTCGTAATCTCGAGTAAGGTTTGCGGCATTTGCGCAGGTTGTGTAAGTACGCGGTCGTCGGTACTCGGTTCAAACCGTCACCGTCCGTGTAAATATCAAGCCTGTATTAGTCATCAAACGAAGCATTGCGAAATATATGTGTAGACTGACTAGAACGTGAAGGTAGAGTCGGTGAAATCTACGAGTGTATATGTATGTACCCTGCCTACTTACGCCTTTGTCGCCTTTACGCCTTACTTACACACGTTTCCAAACCGTTGACGGTCTATCATATATTTTCGCAACATGTTGTCATACGAATTACGAAAAATTTAGGATAAAACTCCGTTATACAGATTCGTAATTCTTTACAAGACTTCGAGTGTGGCGTGACAGTGTCTTATTTTAATAAGAACCGAAATCCGGTTAATGATACTTAGTAAATGGTAAATAAGGATGTTCGACGACGGTAAATGATCGCGGCTCGAGGATCGTGTCGATTACTTTGATCGTTCACGGAAAGAGATTTTACATTTTTTAAAAAGATACCTAAGGCTGGAAGGTTATGCGGTCTATCGATCGTACGTCCATGCACATTTCTGCGCCAACTATTTAACGTAGATCACTTGGCGAACGAACATTTATCGAGCTCGTCTTTGGTTCGGGAAATTGTTTTCTTTATATAAACATCTGTTTCGTTCTGGGAAATAAAAATGGTCTTCGAGTCGATCGTCGCCGAACTCCTGAACAAAGTGTTGGGGGAGTACATTCAAAATTTAGATTCTACGCAACTGAAACTGAGTCTATGGGGAGGTAAGTGTAACACCATGTGTGGCATTCTACGTATATTTACGATTTGCATAAAAACTGTATTCGCACTGAAACTTCTGTTTCGTCGATGAAACGCTTCGAGCCGAGGCATGTTTAATCGACAGCCTATAGGCCCTAGACGAACGATCCTTTCTTCTTTATTGATAATTATGTTGTTGTACGCAAAATAATATTCGAGATTCCGTGCGTAACATCCGTTTCGATTGGCAGTCGTCGTCGTCGTCGTCGTCGTCGTCGTCGGCACTCGGTCGGCAGTCGAAGCCCGGGAAGATGAGAAAACCGATTGAATCGATGATAAGTAGCCGATTGATAACGCGTACATAAATGTAGTAGTCAAACGTAGGTGTATCGTATTATTAGTGCATCTATGTGACATCAGCTGTTATTTATATCACGTTCTTTCAGACCAGTTGTTTATCGCTTATGCAACGGAAACGTGATGATATTACAAACGTACGCACGTGCGCTTATAAACAGAATATCTGTATTATCATGGTTAAATAAAAATTAATAATTGATTTGCGTTAATAATTAATAATTAATTAGTTGATAAACTCGAGCCGCGGCAAAAGGAGATCGTTGCATTGATGGCCTTCCATTTCTCCACTTACGAGCTCGTCGAACGCGAAAATATTTCATGACTACTTTTCGTTCTAGGGGATGTAGTACTGACCGACTTGTTGATAAAAGATTCGGCGTTAGACGTATTAGATTTACCCATCAGATTGGAATATGGAAGATTAGGTTCGTAGATCGTTCGTAACGAATATGGAAACATAAAGTATCGAATTAACATTGTACATTCGTCTGGAAACTGTTCTCAGGGAAGCTTATATTAAAGATACCGTTCAAAGATATGTGGAACGGGCAGATCGATGCCATCATCGAAGAATTATTCATACTGGTGGTACCGACGAGTCAGGTCGCGTACGATGCGGAAAAAGAGGCGAGGATGCAGCTCGAGACGAAGCGCGCCGAGCTCGCGAGGGTCGAAAAGAGGAAACTGTTGGAAGATACCAAATGTAACGAGCCCCCTCACACGATTTCTCTTCGATTTATCATACCGATTCAATTAGTTACGATCAATACGTTTTAGCGCAAGAAAAGTTGGACGATTCGATGATTGAGAAACTGCTTGCGCGTATGATAAAGAATATCCACGTCGAGATCAAACGGATACACGTGAGATACGAGGATCATATTTCGTTCAAAGATCATCCGTTCTCGGTCGGTTTCACATTGAACAAGTTCATCCTGGAAAGTTGCACAGACACCTGGCAGACCGACGGTAATTTGAGAGACATGTATGCCATCCTGCAAATACACAAGGTAGGCAGAGATCTGACCAAAGGAACGAGTGTCCATCGGAATGAAAAAAAACATTCTCTTCTTTCAGCTATGCACATTGGACGGTTTGGCGGTGTATCTGAACACGACCGTTGAACAGTTTAGTACAAATGCACAATCCAAGTATACAGATCTATTTTGTAGCGGAATCGCGACCGTAGATTACAATCCACCCGGTTACGAATATTGTAAGCGGCAAATGTTCGGGATAGTCACGTATCTCCAGGGTAATCGTTGTAATCGTTTCTGACTTCTGTGTAGTATTGGGTCCGATAAACGTAAACGCCAAATTGAAACTGAACCCAAAGCCCGAGACGGATGGGAGCAATTACACGATCCCGAAAGTGTGGCTGGACTTGGAGATGCAGAAATTGAGGATAGGATTAGCGCGGAAGCAGTATCACACTCTCGTTCAATTGGGGGAAGGTTTGGATCAAGCACAGAAGGCTGCGCCGTATCGAAAGTACAGGCCGAACCTGACGTCGTACAGGGGACACTACAAAGAATGGTAGCGTGTTGGAATTTAACGCGTTGAAATAGATCCTTTGAAGTCGGGTGAGATCGCCGTCGTCGGTTTCAGGTGGAAGTTTGCGTACACTAGCGTGCTTGAGGAAACGGTGCGAAGGAATCGTAGAAATTGGGACTGGAATCACATGAAGGAGCATCGGGACATGTGCCGGGCTTACGCCGACGCGTACCAAACAAAGTTGACGAGTAAAAAGGTCGCGCAAGAGATAGAAGAACTCCTGACCGACTGCGAGAGGAAGTTGGACATATTCAATTTGGTCATCATCCGACAAAAGATCGAGATGGAAGTGGAAAAGCTGGCGGAAAGGGAAGCGAGTCTGAGAGCGAAACGCGGCTGGTTCGGATTCCTATGGTCGGGCTCGCAAGCGGAGGAAACGCAAGAGTTGAACTCGGCGGCTGCCATAATGCGGAAATTCGAGCAGGCGATGACGCCGCAGGAGAAGGAAAAGTTGTACAGAGCGATCGACTACCAAGAGAACAGTGCCCCGGCCCATTACCCCGAGACGTACGAGATGATCGACACCCGATTCCTGTTGCGTGAGCTTCAGCTGATAGTCTTAGACACGGACAAGGAGGACCCGCGCGTTTTAGATCTTCAGCTCCACGGCGTTCAAGCTTGCTTCAAGTCGAGACCGTCCGCCAACGCGGTCTTGGTCACCGCCTCGATCAACGAGATGAAATTGTTGGGGACGAAGCAAGCCGAACACGTTCCCTCCATGTTCAATTCGCATGAGCACCACGCGGACACGGACGTTTTATTATCCGTCTCGTACGAGAAGAATCCTCTCGACAAGTTATGCGGCGATCGTGTCATAGTCAAGTCCAAGTCCGTGGACATTGTTTACGACGCGCAAACCGTGATAGAATTAGTGAACTTGTTCAAAGTGAAAAACTCGTCGACTTTGACGACCATCCAAGCGGCTGCCGCGGAACAGCTGGAGGGTCTGAAGGAAATGTCGGCTCTCGGTCTGGAGCATGCCATTCAGAAGCACTCGGTGCTGGATATACAAGTGAACATGCAAGCCTCCCAGTTGATCGTACCGCACGACGGCTTTTACAACGGGACGAAATCGTTGTTGGTCGTCAATCTTGGAAGCTTACGAATGCACTCGTTGGAGAAATCAAAGGAGGACGGGAAGGCGCAGGTAACCGTTAAACAGCTGATCAGTATGGGTAAGAGCGAAGAGGACGTGTTGATGCATCTCAGGGAGTATAGTTACGACAAGTTCGTTCTGAAGATTGTCGATTTCCAAGTGTTGGTATCGCTACCGGGCGAAGAGTGGCGACGAACGATCTCGTCCGGTACGACGACAGACATGTCTCTGTTACACCCGACGACGCTCGAGATCCAATTTCACAAATGCTTGATAACGGACGATCCTCTGTTGCCGAAACTCAGGCTCATCGGACAGCTACCGTCGGTCGTCATCGATATAACGGATGCCCGTTTGCTGCAAGCTCTGTCCATCGCCCAGAGCATTCCCCTACCGAAAGAAGAGGAGCCGACGGACGCGAAATTGTCGCTCAGCAAGTCCGTCTCGCAGTTGTCCTTACTTAGAGACATTACCACGACCATCTCCGAGAAGAAGAAGGAGGAGGAGGACGAGGAAGGCACCGGCGGCGCAACAGTGATCAAACAAACGACCGACATGGAGATGAAATTCGAGATGAAAGAGTTCGCAGTGATAGTCTCGTCTCAGAAGGACGCCACGATCGTTCCATTCATGAGGCTGGAAGTAGTGCAGGTGGAAGCAGAGATGTTGCAACGGACCTTCGATCAAGAGATACTGTTGCGACTAGGGGGCGTTCAAGTGAAGCAGTATCACGAACAAAGGGAGATATTCATGGTGAACACTCCGATGTTGTACGGGAAGGCCGAGTATCTGATAACCGTGCAGTACGTGAACGTGAACAAGCAATCTCCCGAGTTGAAGACCAAACACGGATCGGTTCTCCAACTGTTGAGACTGGAGTTCACCACGTTGGACGTTCTACTGCATCAGGAGGCTCTCATAAGTCTGCTTCGGTTCGTGTCTTACGTGCAGGATCAGACGAACGTTATAATGAGCGCCAAAGCGGAGAAGGATGAGGTCAAACTGCGCGGACGTCCCACCCATTTGTCTCACTTGGCGTCGATCCAAGAGGAGACCTCGACGTTTTTGAGGGAGCAGATTCACAAGCAAAAGCTTCGATCGACGACGAGGAGTCGGCGGCGGAGGGCGGTGATGGAATACGTCGATCTAAAGGTACAGGCAAAAGTTGGAACCATTTGTATGAAGATGGCCAGCGACTGCAGGGAGATCACTGAATTCAACATCGACGGGATCACTGCCGGTTATGTAATGAAAGCTTCCTATTCTCAAGCGAACGTCAATCTGTCCTCCGTCAGCGTGAAGGATCTGAACGCTGCGTCAGCTTACAGAGACATCGTGTCTGTGACGGAGGACACGGAGTCTCTGCAGATCCAAGCGATAATATACAACACCGAGTTGACGGACATGGAGAAGAATAACATGTCGATCACCGTCATTATGGGCTGTTATCGCGTCGTCTTTCTGAACGCGTTCGTCGGCAGTATAATGAGCTTCTTGAACAACTTTCAAGCGGCCCAGCAGGCCATTAAGGACGCGTCGGCGGCAGCGGCTGAGGCCGCGAAAACGAACATCAAAGACGTGAAAGAGAGCGCGACCCGAATCGGGATCGCAGTGAAGATCAAAGCCCCCGTCGTCTACGTCCCTATGCATTCGAGGAGCGAGCAATGTCTCACGCTGGACATGGGCAATCTCACCGTGTGCAACGTGTTCAAGAAGCTGGAGATCACGAACGAAGCCGGGGATTCGCCGGTCGTGGACGAGATGAGGATCGAGTTGCAAAACTTGAAGTTGTCACGGGTCAAATTGAACATGGAGACGTTCACCATTGACAACGAGATACTTCTGTTGGAACCGGTCAGTTTCACGTTGCTGATGAAGCGTAATCTGTCCACCGCTTGGTTCACCTCGATACCGGACATCGACATGTCCGGCAGATTGAACAAGATCAACATACTGATAAGCAAGGAAGACTACGCGACCACGATGCAAGTGTTGGCGGAGAACCTGGGCGAGACGTTCGACGACGAGAAGCGGCTGATGACGAGCGTGAACCAGGCGGAGAAGAGACTCGAGGTGGAAGTGTTGCGGCACCGCGAGACGGACAAATACGAGAGAGCCACGGTGGCCGGGACAGAAGACGTGGAACATCAAGAGCGAGTCCATGTCCACACGTCCGTCAAGTTCGAGTTCGTCATGGACAGTCTCGTCATCAACTTGTACACGGGAGGCTCGACGTCGTTGCAGTCGCAGGGTTCTCTGCTTCATCTGCCGGAGAATGGTTTGGCCAAATTCTGTTTGACTCATTTCGCGTTAAAGGGCCGGATATTCGCCGACGGACTACTGGTCACCTCGATCCTCCTCATGAACTGTACCTTGGACGACACCCGCCAAAGTAGGCAGGGCTCGCTGATAAGAATCATGGAGAGGACCACGGCGGTGCCGTCGATGGACGACATGGAGAAGGAATCGTCGAGAACCGCGCGCAGCATGCTGGACGTGACCGTCAGACAGAGTCCGAACGACACGTTCGCCGACGTCCGAGTGTTCTCCTTCAGTATAATCGTGTCTCTCGATTATCTGATGAAGATCAAGGACTTTTTCGCAGTCGAGGCTCCGGCAGCGGCCAAACCGCCGTCTCCGCCGAAGAGCGAGACAGCGGTCAAAAGGAGACAGATTACCGGCGGCGCGTCGCCGACCAAGAGGATGTTCACCGTCAACGTACTCGTCGAGAAGCCAGATTTCATTTTATTGGAAGATATGGACAATATCAATTCGAACTGTATCATATTGAACACAGAGTTGTCGTTGAAAGCACGTATGATGGACGAGCATCAAGTGATAACTGGCTCTATAAAGGATCTGTCCGTTTTAGCTGGTGTATACAATCCGGCAAAGAGGAGCGACTGGATATATCAGGTACTGAGACCGTGCAGCATCAGCGTGGCGGGATCCACACCGGAGGGCAAGGGCCTTCACGTCGATGTCTGTTGCACGGACATTCATCTGTCGGTATCCCCGAGCGTGATAGAGATACTGAGCAAAGTCGTTCGCACCGCCACGATGAAGGAACCGACGAACGAGGAGGTGGTCGTCGCCGAACAAAATTACGAAGGATTATGGATAGTGACGCCTTTCGAAGAGAACGAATATTGGTTTTTAAAGACGGAGGTAGGGGTGGAGGCTGTCGAAGGTTTCGTCTACCAAGACGACGACGTGGAGGTCGCGGCCTATAAACCGGAGCTGGCGATAATCTCGGCGCCGACGATTTTGTTCACGCTCGAAGCGGGTGTCGGCAACAAAACGTTGCCGATGCTCCTGCTTCACGTCGGGTTCCAGAGCAACATAAACGACTGGAGCACCAAGACCATGAGCATAGAATACACAATGTCTATGATCATGGCTTATTACAACAGTCGCCTGGCTTTGTGGGAACCGTTGATCGAACCGATAGAAGGAACCAAGAATGGGAAACGGGTCTCAACGCCTTGGGAATTGAAGCTTAAGCTGCAGTTCAACGACGTGTCCGCGGACTCCAGAGGTGCGTTGAGCGCCGTCAGTCCTACGTCTGACAGTGAAATAGAAGAGTTTCATCAAACGCCCAAGATGTCCATCGACATAGTGTCGACCGAGAATTTGGAGATAACCGTGACCAAAACTTGTATCGACGTGCTGAAACAACTCGGAGCCGCGTTCTCGTCGGCCATCGAAGCTGGCGATAAAGGGACGAAGAAGGTTGCAGCGCCTTACGTACTTAGGAACGAAACGGGTGCGGCGATGGTCCTGGACTTGGAGCGCAGCAACTTCAAGGTTCGCGAGACACGTATCATGAAAAAACGTACACGCGCGCGCGGTATCGAAAATGAAAGATGTTGTCGTAGGTGTTCGGGTCGAAGCTTGCCAGCAGCGATGCGTACATGGAAGTGATTTTGGAGTCTGGCGCGTCGGTTGAGCTGGCCCCGAAGACGAAGCGAACCGAGATACCGTTGCTCGATCAATTGAAGATCGAAACGATCGGAGAACGGGACGACGATAAATTTATCATCACGGTAAAGAGTTGAAATGAAAAGCCGCGCGATCGACGCGAGGCGACTAACGCGTACTGTGGTCTTTCAAGTTTAAGGAGATCAGTGGAACCCTGGCGATACCTGTTTTAAGAGCCGACAAGAGGTTCTTCTCGTTGAGATATCGGAAGGAAGGCTCCGAGGAATGGGGTATCGTTTCAGACGTCGTCGTGGACGAGGGAAGCACGATCGTTACTCTGAGAAGTATCCTACAAGTACGTAGTCGCCGCACCAATTAATAATTAACACCGGCGAGTTCGTCGTGGCGAGCTCACGGTTCTGTTTCGTTCCACGACAGGTGCACAATCATTTCAGTCGACCGATATCCGTTTATTACATGACTAAACGCGGGAACGAGGTCGAGTGCGTGGGCACCGTAGCTCCTGAGAGCAAATTAAACCTGCCGTTAGATACCGTGTACACACCTACCAACATGTATTGGCTGTTCTTCAGCGTAGACGGGTGTGTATATCTTTCGTGGTACATTACTCTTTTTCACATGTTCATTCTGTTCATTTTTATAGATACATGGTGTCCGAGGAACCGTTCGTTTGGAAAGATTTGCAAAAGACCGTTAGCATGTCGAAACTGTTGAAGTGCGACAGCCGCACGAGGCACGACGCGATAGAACCATTTTATATGAAGGTAACGATCACGATCACACCTATTGTTTGTGAACACATCACACGTCACAGTGACTCTTGCTCGAATCGCGCACCACACACGTACAATATTACATTACACATATTGTCGACGGTGTTTTACAATGATGTAGAGAGCAAGGAAAGTTATTTTTTCCATCAAACACGTATATCGACAAAAAAAAAAAAAAAATGAAAGGAATCACAGTACATGCTCTTATAAGCACTAGTTCTTATTTTTAGATGTTTTTCGTGGTGATTATGGTTGGTAGTATTTTATATAATAACGACACTATTGGCTTATTGTTGAATGCTATTAACTGGCGATCCGTGTTCGGTCGTTTCGTTGATTGCGACAAGCGTCTCTGCTTGAAAAATTTACCCTCTGAGCACAAAAGATATCTGGAAGCACCTGTTCAGGTACTACCCCATAAATTACAGGTTTTCCTAAACTATAGTCTTGAGTCCCAGTCGCTATTACCTAGTACACATGTATACGTTGATGAGTAAAAGTCGATGTCAGATACGTTTAATACTGCTGCGTTAGATAGTCTTTATACTCTTGACGCGTGTGTAACAACTCGTATATGTTTCGTTACTGGCATGATTTTAATCGCATTATTTTTAATCATTCACACGCAAATCGAACAGACAGTTCTTCGTGAAACTGCGTTCGTTGCACGTTTTCCAAGGTATTTACTGTTATGCTTATGGACGGAGTTGTTCGTTAGATGGTAGTGATAAAGCGTGATAGAGGCGATGTTGAAACGTAAAAAGAAAAAAGAAAGACGTGGTAATATACGCCAACTGTATATCGTTTGTAGGTCGTCGGCGAGATAGAACAGGTCTATTACGAAAATACCAACCGACACACAATGGCCAGTACCATTTACAATGTTCACCTGTACCCGTCTCTGTATCTGAAAAATTTCTTGCCGATTGACATTATCGTATGCCTGCCTGGTTCCGTGCAAGAGAAGCTCTTGGAAGCCGGCATGTCTTATCAGATTCCTACGATCGATCCCGGTAAATCTTACGTAATCATAAAGGTAAGCATAAGACTTTTATACCTCGTTTGCCAAGATCCTGTATTATAGATGGAAGCTATTCCGTGTATATTTAACGCGTTACAGCTACCGAATTATTTAGAGAAGGATTGGTCGTGTCGAGGCGAGATACTGGCGAATCCGCCGGAATTTTCCGTATGGTCTTTCGAGTCTTTCGACAGCGCGCAAAAGGTGGTGATGGACTTAGGAATGCACACCTCGCATCAGCACGGTTCTCTCATCATGGCTCTGTACTGCCCGTTCTGGATGTTGAACAAGACAGGCATGATGTTGTCCTACAGGGTAAATATCGCACCCCCAACCACTCCCCGAGTAGCACACCAGTTGAACGTTTACCAATTTAATTTTATTATTTTTCCTTTCGCTTCACGTGAATTTCGCCATCTAATTTTGACACGTGTAATTAGAAAAAGATCTCGATAAATTCAACCATGTATCATCTGTTTAATTTTAATTTTTTTTTCGTTTTTCTTTTTATTAAGCGACGGACCGTAGAAATTGTGTTCATGATTTTTCACGAGAAATCAGGTGGTAAAAGTACGAACCAACGTTTATATACTGAGCGATAGTATGAATTACTATAGTCGATCGGGCATGCAATTAATCTCTATGCAATGCTTGAGTCATGATACTTTTGTGAGACCTGCAAGTGCTATGCTACGTTATGCATGCCGGAAGTAGTGTGACAATACGTACATGTTTGCCGAACGATCGTGTATCTTATCCAACACGTTATTTTACAGAAATCAAGTAAAGGTGGCAAAGAACGCACAAGCCCGATCAAGGTAGTGATATCACATATTGTTCACGCTTTGGACGCAGTATCGTTAGTTAAATGATCGACATGCACATAGTCATAACGGTGGCTGTATCTCTCGATGTGCAACGTTTTATCGCTCTAGAGTTCGATCAAAGTTCATTTTGAAAAGCATTCCCTATCCGAGTTCATATCATTACGATTCGCAATGCCTCGCCGAACGTGGAACCAGCTTTTCAAAGTAAACTTCTTTTTATTCGGCCCGATGTCAGTGACGGATAAACATTTTCACGCGTAACAATCGAGTCGCGTGGGAAGAGAATTGCATACCGAACCGTCGAACGATCTAACAAGACTATACATAGAATTTGACATGACGTTTCAGAATTTGGTTTGCGTGCCCCGTCAACGCGCAGAATGCAAGAGGAAGAATGCACGTAGCTCGGTGATATATTGAATTTCACTTTATATTGGTGATGGTTAATACACATATTGCAAAAGACTGCCGTACAACTAACTTGTCGATGTCTTGTTAATTCTCGTTCGTATCGCGATGTCCAGTGGCTTCTCACGTTCTGACTGATCAGAAGAAGATTCCTTGATCATCGTTCAGTTCTCTTTGTTAGCTTACCGCTGTGTTACCATACACTAACGTTGCAACATTAAAAGAATCCAGAATAAATCCAGAATGTGTAAATTGCTTGTACACTTGTACATATATTACTAAGGGCATGTATAAGGCACAATTACTAAATAGCACTCGTAGAATTAGTCCCATGTGTAATGTTTTACTCATAATTTTACCGACACTTTGTACTTGTACAGAAACTTTCACGGACATGAGACAAAAATGTACAAGCCTTGTTTACTGAGATACGTGTTAAGCGACAGGTTGTACGGTTACAAGCTTGGCGAATACGGTGTCGGCGAACGTTCACGTGAATACGTCAACGCAAAGTTGTGTTTGCCAAAGATGCAAACTGTCGACTGGAACGTTCTTGCGTGCAATGGAATTGTCGAATCGAATTTAATCGTGCCGTGTGTGAATATTTTCAGAGCGGGGAAGACTATTTAAACGTGTTGTATCACCCGGAGAACTTCAAGGGACCAATATTGTTCTCGTTCCGCTCGAAAGTGTTCTTCGGCAAGAAGAAGGCGATGATCAGAGTGGAGGACGGCGAGTGGTCCGATAAATTCCCGATAGACGTTGCAGGGAGCGAAGGGGTGGTGGATTGTAGATACAATGGCCTAACGTTCCAGGTTGGTACTCTTTCAACAGCCAGTTTCGTCTCTGTACGCAATTTAACTATCCTCTACGCATTACAGATCGGAGTTCACAATCAGCTGACTTATAATTCATTGACGAAGCAGATCACGTTTACCCCGTACTATGTACTGATAAATAATTCGCGTTATCTGATCGAATGTCAGGAGGGAGACAGACCGGCCGACACTATGACCAAAGTACCATTCAATTGTATTTTATCGTTAATCTCGATCAAAGGGTTCGGCCAGCCCAGTTTATTCGTTTATTCGTTTATTCGTTCGGTAGGTACCCCCTGGCGAATGCACGGCTCTCTGGCCACATTCCGAGCACGAACAGAAGACTTTGAGAGCAAGGATCGCGGGCGATCCCGAGAAAACCGCGCCGTTCGTTTACACGGATAGCCACACTACTTTACTCAAATTAAACAACAAGGTCCGTTGACTCAGTCTCCTCTGTCCGATACGTACTATTCGTGTCTCTATCCTTTATCGTTGTTGCTGTCGACAGTACGGAGGGATCAACGTAGACGTACAAATAAGCGAAGGAGGAGTGTACATTTCCCTGTCGTTGTACAGCGACGGAAATGCTCCTGCCCTGATCATCAATCACACTCCGCACACTATCAACTTCTGGGAGAAGGGTTCGTTGAACGTCAGGTAGGATCGTTTGAACGAAAAAACTTCGGATCGATAATTCGGTGTTTATCATCGAACAAATCGTTTCGCAGATCTGTACAGTCGTACAATAGAATGTTTTACACTTGGGAGAACCCTGCGGGTCCGCGAAAGGTGGTCTGGGAAACTAGTCATAAGAAGGAGATCGAAGACACGCTGAGAAAAGTACGCTGTTAACGACGCTATGTTCTTTTGCGCAAGTTACCGATTACACGCGACTGTCTAATTTTTATTAGGACACTCTGGGAAGTTTTCTATTGCCAGACGTGGAGGACGAGGTGTTTTACGTGTCCTTCTTGGACGGTACCCAGCGAGTATTCTTGTTCACGTCAAGCATGAAAGTCGCGGAGGATTGTCAACTGGCCGGTGACTTCGAGGCCATAGATCAGGACGTGACGATAACGATTCACGGTGTCGGCCTCTCGCTCGTCAACAATTACACGAAATCCGAATTACTGTATCTGTGCATAGCCAGGTAGGTGGGTAACAGCCACGCGACTGGGAAGCTCGTTCGTTCGACTTTCAACAATTTTACTATTTGCGGGGATTTGTCAGTTCGGGGATCATATGGGAGTCGCGCAAGTCTTGCACTCATCGTTGGCGAGGTCTCAGTACGAAAGATGTCGAACTCATAGAGGAAGGCTATCAGAAGTACATGAGAGAATCACAGATAGGGAAAGATCCGGACGCAAAGGTCATGCTTGAACCGAGATTAGAGGTAAAACGAATCAAATAAATCGTACGTTGTTTTTACGTGTTCTCTATCATCGAACGAATCGTGATCACAGGTGGATTATATTAACATGGAAATGTTGAGGCCACATCATCGGTATCTGAGGCGTACTTTTCAAACTGGTCTATGGCTGCAATATCGCACTTCCGCGCATCAGGTTCAGCTGCACGCGAAGATCAACCGATTGCAGATCGATAATCAACTCGCAGACTGCGTCTTTCCCGTTATATTGGCCCCGGTACCACCACCGAGAAGCGTTACATCGGGTACCGGTAAGTACTCGACGCGTGATCGTATTCGACGATCGATTCACGTCGCTGCTGTATTTTCGACAGTTACGAAACCGTTCGCCGAACTCAGTATGGTCAAACGATTATTGGCGCACAGTAACGTGCAACAGTTCCGGTACTTCAAGGTGCTCATACAGGAGTTCCACGTAAAAGTGGACATAATTTCCATCAACGCGATCATGGGGTTGTTCGAGACGAACGAAATGAACGATGCCGAGGAAGTGAGTTTCCATCGATCCACCGATCGAAGTTTTGCGAGTGCGAACGAGCACCGAAATAATCGCTTCTTCGAATGTCGCAGAGCAAGTTGTTTAAATTGGACATGAGACTGGTCGACGAGCCGTTAATGTACCACGTTAAACTGATCACTACGGCCGAGCAGAAGAACTTCTTCGACCTGTTGCATTTCTCACCTTTGAAGGTTCGTGTTTGCGTCTTCTATCGCAAGGAGAGATCATTAAAGGGTGGTAACGGAAGCCATGGGTGGAACTTAGCAATATAGTCGATCGATCAGTCTTAACGTATTCGAGAAAATGTTTGAAACGATAGTCGTAGGTACCGCCAAAAGTTGTTTGTTGCGGTTGCAAACGAAATTGTTTATTGCAACAACTTTTTCCTTATCCCAGCGAAAAGTTTTTTATACTGCCACTCTTCAAACAGTATCTCGACGTATAGGCGTAAAAAAAAAGTCAGTCGGTGAAACGCGTTCGCCACTGACATCAGATTTCATTCCAGATTCATATAAGTTTCTCCATGACCGGAAGCAGCAGCGGGCCTTCCGCGGTGCCCCAGGTGTTAAACGTGTTGTTACAAGGGATAGGCGTCACGTTGACCGATATCAACGACATCGTCTTCAAGTGATCGCCGTTCTAGTAAATTACTGTACCGGCTATGTGAAATGATACTTATGAACAATAATGTGTTCCGCGTGAATGTTTGCGCAGATTGGCATATTTCGAAAGGGAGTACACCTTCATGACCAACAAGCAACTGATTTCCGAAGCAACGATGCATTACGTGGGACAAGCTATAAAACAAGCGTACGTACTCGTTCTGGGCCTCGATGTCATAGGCAATCCTTACGGACTCGTCGTGGGTACCATGAAAGGCATCGAAGATCTGTTCTACGAACCTTTCCAAGGCGCCATCCAAGGCCCTGGAGAGTTCGCGGAGGGTCTGTTTCTCGGCATGAGAAGCATGCTGGGTCACACCGTGGGAGGTATGGCTGGAGCAGTCTCGAAGATAACTGGCGCTATGGGTAAGCCTGACATTTAACGTATGTTGTATTCGTTCGTCGTGTATTTATAGCAATGTGATTTTAGGCAAAGGTCTGGCCGCTCTGACCTTCGACAAGGATTATCAAAGGAAGAGGCAGGAACAGCTTAACAAGCAACCAGCCAATCTGCAAGAGGGTCTGGCTCGCAGCGGAAAGGGCTTGATAATGGTGAATCATCTTATCATTTTTTGAACGATAACACGTTTCTCAATTATGTGTGTGTGTGAACGATTCAGGGCGTGGTGGACGGTGTGACCGGCGTCGTGATGAAACCGATATCGGGAGCCAAAGAGGAGGGTGTGGAAGGTTTCTTTAAAGGATTCGGGAAGGGCATGGTCGGCCTCGTTACCAGGCCGACTGCTGGAGTCATAGATTTCGCCAGCGGTTCGTTCGGTGCTGTGAAACGGTACGGAGATAATCTACAGGCGATTCGCGCTCTGGATTTTAGGACGATACAAATTTGAATTGCTGTTCAGGGCGACCGAGCTGCACGATGAAGTGAAGAAAGTGAGACCGGCCAGATTTTTACAGCCGGACAATTTAGTCAGGCCCTACATTCGAGACGAAGCCGAAGGGCACAAGATATTATGTGTACGTGTTCAACGTGTTTGTCGATCACCATTTTTTGGCCGAATACTCTTCTCTTAATTTAACGTTCGCTCGTAGGAATTGGAAAAAGGAAAATATGCGAACACCGACATCTATTTCTATCATTTGTACATTAACAAGGACGTGCTACTGCTAACTGATAAAAGGCTAGCGTACGTGGAGCATAGCGACTTGTTCGGTGGCTGGAGGGTAGGCATCTTTCGGCACGTCGACCGTCGAACTTGTTCTTTTAACTTCTCCTTTTAATCGTACAGATCGATTGGACTTACACGTGGCAGGAAATGGCCGAGTTACCGAAGATAGTCGACCGAGGAGTGCAGATATTCGTTAAAGACGGTAGTAGGAGAAAGAAGTTGGGAAATTTCTTTGGCAGCGCAGATCAATCGAAAATAATTTTGATACCTGATTATAATCTGAGACAGGTAAGCCGGATGAATTGTAATTAATATCTTCTCACTTTTACATATACTTATTTCAATGCTCGATGATTTCACTTCGCAGTTTTTACGCAATAAGATGCAAGAACAAATCAATCAATTCGGATTGTAACGGAAAGAGCACTCGGCACGAGTGGATTACCGACTGTTCGCGTACCAGGGACGAACAATTCTTTTTCAATTTCAAACTCGAACTTCATTAATTTTATACACACGTACAATGCGTTGTACAAGAGTTTTCTAGCAGCAATGCCGTTCACAAGACTGATACTCAATCAGACTATCGACCGAAGGCAGAGAACGATCAGTATAACATAATTTTATATTTACGCATCGCGACATGATCTTCGTTTCAATGTTCGTTTATTATGCTCTATGCGCGAAGCACCTTCTTTTTTTATATACAATCACTTACCTTGTAGATCACTTTCCGATTCCGACGTTTTTTACGATACCAGTGTGAAATCATGAATAGCTTCTCCGACGTTTTTACCTAATTAATAACGATCGTTGTTGATACGCTATACGAGTCTCCTCCGTTATCCCATAAACCGCTGCCTGCCCGTGCGCTCCACTTGAAATTCCGTTCGATCGGAAACGATCGTACGACAATATCACGTTTTCTTGTACAGTTCACCGGTAAGCTAACGCAAACGGAAACTCAAACGCACATCCTACGTTCAACGATTACTTCCGCATCTATCCGTGTGATCGTGTTGTTACTCCGTATGCATGCGTACAGATTGTTTTTAACAGTTAAAGAAACGAGAATAGTTTTTAAAGGGGAGAAGTACTTGCACAATTTTTTTTCGTAATACCGTTTTCGTAATTTCGTTTACCGATTAGAGGAGATCGATCTCGAGAGTACTCTGTACGTCCGCGGATGAGTGGTACGTTTGTTACGACTGTTCATAGTCGAGATCGACGAAAGGTGAAACAGACCCAAAGACGTTACGCTATAATTTGTAAGATGTTATCTGTATAATTGTAGTTACCTTTATGAACGAACACTATTGTTAAATGTTATAGAGGAGAGATATACGTATACACTGTTTATACATTACGCATCCAAACGAACTGTATCATTATAAGAGAATTAAAAGTAACTTTTTCCGCTTCTCTATACCGCGTCTCTTTCTTTAATGTCTCGCTTATGTGCATGCCGTACGCAGTGCGTGTATCTTGCAAATTCATTTCGTTCGCATTAAAAAAAAAAAAGAGTACATTCAATTGTTTATCCGTGTTTATCCGCGAAAAGTGTTATACGTATCATGTGTCCGGATCGGTGTTTTATGTTTTAATCAAATTACGAGATTGACAAGAAATTCATCGTAAGTACGAAGAGAAGTTGTAGAAGAGAGAATTCCGTGTAAAATACAACGATGCGTTTCAGGTGCGGCGTATGACTCGGTTTAAACGTTCTTTAGGAAATCGTCGATCGATCGCCCGATGACAGAGTCTCAAAGGTTCATACCGGGCCCTCCGCAATTGCCGCCTCTATACAAGGGGCAAAAGATTAAGCAGGTAAGTACCCCATTGAAATGGTGAATCGGTCGGCCTCGATTCGCATGTCTCTCGTTACAGGGACCGTACACTGTCACGGTCACGGATGACATGGTAACGCAGAGAGAACGGGAGAACGAACAGTTATACAGGGCTTGGCTCGAGCAACAACGAAGAAGACAAATGGAGGGTGACGACGAAGAGTACGTCGGGGATTTCAAGGAAGACACAGTTAGAAGAAGTTTCATTCGGAAAGTTTTCTGCCTACTAACGGTTCAATTACTGATCACGTCCGGCATCATTGCGTTCTTTATGTTCGTGTAAGCACGAAATAATAACAATATCTCTCTCTCTCTCACAACGGATGATCCCTTGTTCGATTGACTCTATTGCAGGGATGACGCGAGGAAATTTTTGATAATCCACTGGTACATGTGGATCATAGCCATGTACGTAGACCCCCGTTGTTGAATCTCGGTACAAGAGATCTAAATCGTTGATTATTTTGTCAGGATATGCTTCATGTGCTCCTTTTGCGCCATATCGTTTTCCGAGAGCGCGCGACGCACGCCACCTTTCAATTATATATGGCTGACTAAATTGGTAATTTAACTTGGTGAATTAGTGGGACCGCTACAAAGATTCACACAATGAAATATCATTTTCCAGACGCTTTCGATGTCGTACTTGGCCGCTTTCGCGTCCGTCTTTTACGAGATCGAAATCATTCTGTTGGCGTTAGGCATGACGACAATAGTCACCTTGGGCATAGCTTTTATCGCGACGATCACCAAGGTACTTCCAGCCGTGTATATTTAAAGAACGGACAACGAATAAACGGTGCGATCTTCCAGTTTGATTTAACAATGAGAACGGGACTGATGACGGTCGCCGGGCTGGCTGCTGTAGTCTCTCTCATTGTCTTAACGATAGTCCTCTACTTTACGTACATAACTGCGATACACGTGGTGATCTCGGTTATAGGAATGATCATATTGTCAATGGTTAATATAGAGTTTTTTTCGAGAAATGATTTGCCTAGTTGGGCCACAAGCTGCTCTACGTTTTTTTTTTTTTTAGTACTTGTTCTTCGACGTGCAAACGATCATGGGCGGAAGGAGGATAGAGATAGATCCGGATGAAGTGGTATTTGCAACGGTTCAACTTTACGTTGACATCGTGCTGCTGTACCAATACATTTTAATGTTCATGGGTCTGGTTCATCGATCATAACGACGGGCGTGAAATCTTTCGGACCGAAATCGTAATCGAATAAAATAGAAATCGTTCTTAGTAGAAACGTCATTTTAATAAATAAACGTATACTGCTGTACGAACTCGAGAGAGAGAAAGAACGAGCATCACATTTTTTACATCCCCTCGACATTCATACGCCAAGTTGTGCATTTTTTTTATTACCGTGACTACGCGTTGATTCGTAAATGAAACATTTACTTTAGTCACAATAGCGTACGTGATACTGTGCCGGTATTTAATAACCGGGATAACCGGTAGAAATTGTATGAACATGCAAGATGCGCACAAGGCGCGCTCTTTTAAAAACTAGCGCCACTACCGCCAATACCACCACCATCACCACAGACTCTTTCAAACGTCAGTTGCAAAGTTCGTTGCCCAGCAACTGGATGCGTCGTTCGCGTCAACACATCGTCGGACGTAAAATGCTGGTACAAAAAATAAAGTAACGTGTGATTCGTAAATTTGAACGAGTGCGTAAGTATGTGAATAATAATCGGAAAGAGCGTCCGTTTAAATGCTCGTCACTGCGGCATGAATCGTATGAACAAATTAGCGTCGTTCGCGTTGTCACAAATTAAACGCAGTAATTATGCAAGAACTATTTATACGGTGCACCATAACGAGAAACGAGGTCTTTTCTACGTGAAACTGGAAGACAATTGTAATTAACGTGTCCAACAGCAGTTTCTCTTTTTCGTCTAATTTAGTGTATATTTTTAATAATTCACGCCGCTTTCCACTAATGTCACAAACTGAACTTGTCTGTACCTTCAATTAGCAAGAGCGGTACTGCACTACATAGCCGAGGGGAGAGTTTTAGATATGCAAAGAATCAACGTACCGTACCAATACTCGGGAAAAGGTCTGGCACGTTTGCTCGCGGAGGTACAAGTATTCGCCACGTATAAACAACCTGTGAGTCTCGAAGTTCACGCGATCATATTAAGTATATGTTTTCAGACTGCGTTCACCTACGCCATTGTAAATTATTATTACATGTATCTGTCGTGCGATTACATGCAGAGATATTATCTTGCCGTCAAGAATTCAGATCTGGAAGAAGTGGTCGTTGGACCGCCGCACCTCTTAGAGGGCCCGGATTCGGAATCGTTGGATCCGATAAGCCCCCACGAACTGCCCGATCCGGACGAATTCAACATATAACGCGTCGACGAGCACGTCTCTAGCCTTGCCTAGGTCTCTCAACTTGCGATTAAACTACAGTCGGTCGACAAAAATGGAGGAGGCAGAGTACGTCGCGTTGGTCGAGTGGCTTTGCCGTCAATCTTATTACAACGGTATGTTGCTTCGTTGCAAGGAAGCGTGCGCGGCGTACCCGGCCAGCAACCGTCTACGAATTCTGCTGAACCTCGCGTACATTTTCACCGGCAAGTTCCAAGAAGCAATTAAAGACAGTTCCGGTTTGATCGGTGATCCGGACGCTACCTTGGCAGCGTTGCTCGTTCAAAGCATCGCTCACGGGAGCATCGACAACGCCGAGAGGGCCACCGCGATGCAGATCGAGACGAGAATCCGGGACGAGAGACGGAAAGCGTCTCCGAACGCGCTCTCGTTGACAGCTTTGGTTTTGCTCGCGTCCCGGAGAGTTGACAAGGCGAAAGATTACGCGGAGAGAGCGTACAAGCTCGACTCGTCCGACAAGAACGTACTGACAATCAAAGGATGGGTGGATCTGTCCGGATCTGAGACCGATTCGAGTCGGCCTAGCTTGTTCGACGCGGTGTTGGAGCGAGACCCGAAGGACGTGAACGCTCTGCTCGGTTCCGCCAAGTATAAACAACTCCACGGCGACTATGCGGGAGCGATACTAACGCTGAATTCGTTGATCGTCCGTTATCCGAGGCTAAGTTTCCCTTTGGTAGAGAAACTGTTCAATCAGCTCGCGTTGAAAGATTGGGACCAAGTTTTGGAGACCGCCAACAGGATAGCGTCGATCGATTCCAACGATCTGGACGCTATGAAGGCTCACGCGTTCGTGAACCTCTGCAGGGACGGCGATTACAACGAAGGATCGAAACGAGTACAACTGTATTTTAGGAACGTGGTCGTCACGGAGACGAACAACGTAACGGTTCTGGTGAACGATCTTCAACTGTTTTCACGAGTCGCCTGCAAGCATCGAGGGATCTTGTCGGATCTCGCGAGAATCGCCGAGAAGATGTTGCAGCAGAACGCCAGGAGCGCAGAGCTGATGGTTGAGCTCGGTAATTTGTATTTCTCGTTAGGCAAAGTGAGCGACGCGGAGAATTGGTACAGAAGCGCGGTTCGCGTGAACGAGTCCTCGTTCGCTGCGCTAACGGGATTGGCGCATTGTCAATTGTCGGACACGTCCGTCGATGCGGCAGACCTGGCACGACAACAAATCGATTTCCTGATGGAAGTGCAGACGCACTCGATGAACGCAGAATTGCACTTCTTGTCCGCTAAACTGAGCTCCAACGATTCCGTCGAAGGTCTGAACCATTTGAACAGCGCGGCTACCGTCATATTGAACGGTTGCAAGTACACGCCTTACGGATATGATTACATGAGAAAACTGAATCCCGACTTGTGCCTGGACATCTCGAGGCAACGTTTGGTCTACTACTCGGTAACGAACGTCGAGGAACAAGTGTCCAGCTACGACGAGCCAAGCTTGAACTTGTTGGAACAGCTGTCGGAAGCCTATCCCGGTTTGATCGCCGCTCAGCTATTGTTGAGCAGAGCCAAGATGCAGAGCGGTGACTCAGAAGAGGCTTCGCGCATACTGAGAAATCTTTTGGAGAACGTCGACCCCTCGAACGCGGAAGCTCATTTACTGATGGCTCAGATTTTAACGCGTCGAGGAGATTATCAACTGGCCTCGCAAAGCCTCGAAGTCGGGCTGAGTCACAACTTCAAGATCAGAGACGATCCGATCTATCATTTGATAGTGGGCACGGTCCAAAAGGAGAACGGCGACGTGGAAAGCGCGATAAAAAGCTTTCACGCCGCTAGGTCGTACGCGGGGACCGACATTTCTACGTCGGATTTAGCTACTCTGTACCTCGAGTCGATCTCGGCTTACGGGAAGACGCGACGATTCGACGAGGCGATCGCCATGATCCAAGAAGCGAGAACGAGACTTGCCAACAGCACGGAGGAAGGAAGGATATTAATAGGGAACGCAGAGTTATTGTTGGAGATGGGAGAACTGGACGATGCTGTTAAATGCCTGTCGAAAGTTACTCCGGATCAGCCTTACTATTTGCAAGCTCATACGCGTCTGGCCGACGTTCACTTGAAGTATAAAAAGGATCGCCTCGCATTCGCGACGTGCTACAGGTTTGTGTCTCGTCTTATGTCTAACGTCGCCCTGACCAGGTGCAGGGCGAGCCAGTAAAACCGTTATCGTACGCGACAACCACGTGTTCGTCGAACGAATCTTATTCTCGAATTTTAACGAATTAAGAACGGACGATGACCAGCGGATAGTTTTAAACGATACTGTTTACTCGCTCGCTTTGTACACGCGCCTAACGAACGTATCATTTGGAATTATACGTACATATTATAAAGGGAATTGGTGGAGCATTGCCCGGGACCAAAGACGTACAGCATGCTCGGCGACGCGTACGTACTGATACAGGAACCGGAAAGAGCGATAGAAGCGTACGAACAAGCCTTGAAACAGAATCCCGCGAACAAAGTACAGATAGCAAGTAAGCTAGGGAAGGCGCTGGTAAAAACGCATCAGTACACAAAAGCCATCAATTATTACAGAGATGTGATGAAACAGGATAGCTTTAAGAGCCTGAAATTGGATCTGGCTAAATTGTTCATAACGATGAAACAGTACGACAAGGCAGAGGCTACTCTGGTTCAAGAGTTACAAGGTTCGTATCGCGGTTGTTCCGCGTCGCGTCGAAAATTTTCGAAAATTTCCGAAAATTTCCGAAAATTTCCGAAAATTTCCGAAATGAAAATCGGTTGACGTTTCGGCAGATGGTCGTCGAGATTCCGATTTACAGAGTTTGGAGGTGCGCGGTCAGCTGTTACTGTTGCTCGCGAAAACGCGGGAGAAATCGGACAACGTTCAGGGCGCGTTGTCGGCGTTGAAGGAAGCTAAGGAGAATCAGCACAGGTACATGCAACGCGCGGGAGGTTCCGAGGATCAGAAACAGCTTCTGGCCAACGTTTGCCTCACGATGGCGGATTACTCGACCTCGTTGAGAGACTACGACCAGGCTATAACGTACTACAAGGAAGCGTTGAACCAGAGACCTGCGAACGTGAACGCGTTGCTGTCGCTGGCGAAGCTTTATATGCAGGTAAAGGGAAACCGTTTAGCTGCAATCGGAATTGGAACTGATCTTGACGAATCGTTAGACAAACAACTTGGATCGATGCGCCCAAAGCTGCACGGCCGTGTTAAACGCTGACCCGAACAACGAGGCAGCCTCGATAATGATGGCCGATCTCGCGTTCAGAAAAGTGGACTTCGACACGGCAGCCTTCCATTTTAAACAATTATTGCTGAAGCAGCCGACTTACTGGACAGCCTTGGCAAGATTGATAGAAGTTTCGCGTAGAACAGGTACTGAGTCGAGGAATCGATCGAGGTGGCGTCCTGCTGATCGTCGTGTTGCTATTCGACCGTTTCCAGGTGACACGGACGACCTGGACGAGTGGCTGCGACGAGCGGAGCTGGCGATCGGCGGTGCCAAGACGGCCGGTTATTACTACTGCTCGGGTCTGTTGGACTGGCGCATGGGCCGATTAAATTCCGCGCTTCGCCAGTTTAATTTCGCGAGACGCGACCCCGAATGGGGTCAGCAGGCTATATACAACATGATCGAGATCTGTTTAGACCCCGACGACGATTCCCCGTTGTCGAACGACGTGTTCAGCGACGAGGACGCCGAGTACCAAGACTCGAGAACGATGGCCGTGAAGACGGCTTACCGTTTACTGCAAGAACTGAATCCGAAAGGGAGCGCTCACGAAACGTTGACGCACAGATTGCTGAGCAATTTCTTCCTGCTCGCTACGAAGAAGAAGTCGAACGTGGAAAAAGCTCTGCAGGACTGCACGGCGTTGGCCAGCCAAGAGGCGTTGAGGGACCACGTCGGTCCAGCTCTGGGCATGGCGATGGCGCATATACTTCTGAAGCAAACGCCCAGGGCCAGGAACCACTTGAAACGCGTCAGCAAGAACACGTGGACCTTCGAGGACGCGGAATACCTCGAACGCTGTTGGCTGCTGTTGGCCGACGTTTACGTGCAGTCGAACAAGAACGATCTGGCCAACGAGCTACTGAGACGTGTGTTGCAGCACAATGCCACTTGTGTCAAGGCTCACGAACTGTCCGGGTACATCGCCGAGAAGGAGCAAAATTACCGGGAGGCCGCGTCGCAATACGGTCAAGCATGGAAGTACGGGGGCAAATCGAGACTGTCCGTAGCTTACAAGTTGGCTCATTGTCTGATGAAAGCGAAAGCTTATGCGGATGGGATAGAAGCGTGCAACGAAGTCTTGAAACAGACCCCGGATTATCCTCGTATAAGAAAAGAAATTCTAGAGAAATGTATCAATAACTTGCGCACTTAATAAACTCTCTCTTTTATCACACGGCAAACGAGGTATCTTTCCTCCGAGTAGCTCGTTCACGGCGGTAAATCGGGATATCTCCTGTGTATACTTACTTATGAAAAAACTGCGCGAAAATAATGCGAAACTTCATGTTTCACGTGCGTCGCATAAAAATCTACTTGTTAGTAGACGAACGTTGCCGGGAAAATAAGAAAGGAGGGTCGACGGCTCGCGTTGTGCGATCGTGTTTTCATCGGTAATCAACGTGACAACATGGATTTGGAAAGGTCGCTCGTGGTCACCAATGCCACGAAACGCGTCAACGATCCTTTAAAAATTGTGATCACAGACGGTACGACGGACATCGCACGGTCGTTCGCCTACAAAGTACTGTACGGTCACGTGTTCGGCAAAGATCGACCTATCGTCATGAGTTTCTACGAACTACCGGACAAGGCCACGTTCCTCGAAAGCGTCATGATAGAGCTCACTTCCTTCGCCCCCAATCTCCTGCACGGTAAAAAGTTTATCGTCTAGAGTTCCGTTTCAATAGTGATTTCCAGATATAAGTTATGCCAATCGTCAGATATAAGTTACGGTCACGAGGCGGCCGTCGAATTCAACAACGCAGACGTCGTGGTCTGCATCGGTTTTGCGAGGGAGTACGACTTTAAACCGGACGAATACGACGACCCGTTCTTCCAGGAGCACATAAGGATCTCCAAATTCTATGTATCGACCCAAAGCCTCAATTTGATCGGTAACGTTAAATTGTTTTTTTCGAACTGAAACCTCGAACGAAAATCGTGAAAGGGAGAAGCGATAGAGAGATACGTGAAGAGAGACGCTAGGATCATCGTGCTCGGGAACACCGCGGCGACGATCATATCCCGATACGCGACTTCCATACCTAAACGGAACATAACTACCCCGTCCTTGATCAATTCAAACATCGCCACTTCTCAGGTGGTTCACCGTTCGCTATCTTTTACGTCCGATTGAAAATTCTGAATTTCGAAACCTATTTGGTGGAACGACGTTCTCGTTCAGATCGCTGCCCGAATGCAGTGTCTGCCGACCGACGTGAAGGGCGTGATAATATGGGGTTCGAACGGGTCCTGCAGCTTCCCGGATTGCAGATACATGTACCTCGCTACCGGGAAACCTGTTACCGACAGTTTAAGAGTTTGGATCAGGAACAATCTCGCAAAGGTAAAAGTTCGAGACTCGTGCAAATTTGTGTACGGTGTACGATTTCGTTGATCGAGTTTGAAACTCGTCCCGTGAAAGGACCAAGTCCTGAATAGGGACGAGTTAGACATCGTCGAACAATCGTAAGGAACGACGTATACGACAGACAGACAGGCAGGCAGGCAGGCAGGCAGGCAGGCAGCGTTGGCAAGTACAGAATTAAGAAACATCCTTTTCTGAAAGGTGATCCGAAACGTTTCCAGCAGACCTGCCCACATTCGATCGATAGCTTACGCGCTCGCGGAACACTGTCGGACGTTGTGGCACGGCACTCTGGAGAACGAATGGACGAACATGGGCGTTTTCTCCGATCACTCTTACTCGGTTCGCTCCGGGATATTTTTCTCGTTTCCCGTGCACTGCAGGAACAAACAGTGCGAGATCGTGCAAGTAAAAAGAGAAGAAACTGAGAACGCGCGTCGTTCGTTCGTACGTATTTGGAACAGGGATTCTGAAAGGGATTCGCCGTACTTTGTAGGATCTCGACTGTGATCGTTACATAAAGAAGTACATTTGGGACTTGAGCAGGCTGATCAACCGGGAGATACAGTATGGCTTCGACATATGCGGTATACCGTGTAGTTACTGACGACTGAGCAAGCAATTTTCACATTCCCACTCCTGGTTCACGTTCACGCATTTTATTACACGAGTCACATTTATTTCTGTTCACGAGTCGTATTCATAATTTCACCATACCATACGATTGTATTCTCGTAGAGCCATCGTTTTGTGCATCGTCGTCGTAATAATCGTCAAACAGTCCGAACGTTTCGTTCGTCTCGGAAGATCGAACGAGCAAATCGAAGGGCGAAATCTGAGCGGAACGAGCACGGCGGATAATACTCTCGGCGGATAATATTCTCTAAAGAGATCGATCGACTTTCTGTTCGACGGAAGATATATGTAGATTCAAAGATCCAAATACATGATCTGGGTCGCAGAGGCGGCTCCGCAAGCGGCCAGAGTGCTCGCCACGCAGACGACCGCCGTGGTGGTCCCAGACACGCTCACGATCGTTCCCAAACAGCAGGAGAGCAAGAACTGAGCCAAGAACACCATGGACGAGACGATCGCCACGTCCGTGCCAAGGCCGCGCACCCCTGCGCTCTGTACAGCTTCACCCTCGGTGGTCACCTCGAACTGCAAAGTCGATTAATTCAATTTCTCACCCGCACACACGCGCACGGCTCCTCTTCCAGCGACCACTTCACATAGTATTTACCCTCGCGTCGTTCAAGAGTATTCTAATGCAATTTCATGTTCGAGCCAATTCCTCATCTGCATTTCACACCGTATCGCACGATAGTATTAAGAATGTATAGGCTTATACTTAAACAATGCTGGCATGTTGAATTTGTTATTATACATTCCCATTACTGTTAAAAAGATAAAATTATAGTGACTTCAAATTTTTCATAGGTAATAGTATCACCTACAACTTTTACTTAAAGCATTTTTCAATATTTTGAGAAAAAAAAAATTTTCGATTTTTCCGA